CTAGCTATTATAACAAAGGAGATAAACAGATTAACAATCTTGTTTGCAAAAGAATAGAAGCCGATAGCTTTCAGATTAAGTTGTTTGTTAAGGGCCCAATCCTATACTCTTTGCATAGGTAAATCTTCAGTGGAAGTTTTGCCCTTGTGAGTAGAATGGGACTGGGCTCAACACTTGACAGCGCAAGGATAACAGACTTAATAAATAATTTATTAAGCAATAGGAGTGACAAATTCTATAAGTACGTTTTAGGAGTCACACCAAGGTCTAGTAATCAACTCAACATTGCTGCCCCGTTCTGACAGCAACAAAGTTCCTCACTTTTGGGTACAAAGGAATTAATTTAGTCATTTGCTTTTCATATAAAAGAAGAAGGTTTCAGCTACCTAAGCTTTTCTTATGGTTTGATGCAGCTCCCACTGAAGCCAGTGGAAGGACTCCCATTGATTTCCGTGTGTGCTGCATCAGACTCTTAGGTTGCATTGACAAAATTGTGTGTAGGACAAGAAACTGAATTCCTTTACCTGAAATGTGAAGTTTTCTCCATGTGATGGTAGGAAGAAGTCTATCATGAATTGCTGGATGTTAACTTGTAACACAGACCACTTCTGCTTGCTCCTGCAAAATATATGAAGCAAAGGATGAACAAAGTGCTAACCCATTATACTTTGATGGATCATGACTTCCAGAAAGAAACTCCAATAAATGGAGTATGGATGGATTTTGAGAAAAATGAGCTTTGCTATGGTAGGCCAAAATATTTATTACAGTGTCAGTAATGTTTTTTCAATTAACAAGTGATCCTCAAAACAAATGGGGGAGGCGAAAAGAGTTCTTAATGTTGACGAATAGCACACTGTCAAAGAACTCAGTGCAGGAAACAAGCCAGGGATTTAAAAAAGTCATTCACCCATTTGATACTAGTGAACAGGAAGATTTTCCTGGTGAGCAGGAGGGCACATCCCATCAATATGTGCAGAGTATAAACTGTCTGAGGTAGGGAGTGGAAACAGGCTGAGTTAGTTAGGGATGGCCAATAAATTACTTGGAAAACTGGATTTTTGATTAAGTGACACTTTTCTAGAAAACAGCCTAATTTCCATGACACATTTGACTTTTTTCAACCCCCACCACCCCCAAATACTTGAAGACTGAAAAAATGTTGGCCAAAAATGAATCTATTTGATTCAGAAATGCTGCCAGGTACCTCATAGGAGTTATAGTTCAACTGCCTCTTGCCCCCATTCTCATGGACCATTCTCCCTGCCTCGACTATATTTCCCATGATGCAACTCAATAAGAGGGGCGATGGTGGTGCATAATGGGAGATTTAGTCCAGTCCATGTTCCAGCTAGTCTAATCAGTTGTGTATCTGTGGAAGCAGAGCTGTGCCGGTTTGAAGATGACGTGCCCTGACTGAGTGCCAATATCAGGAGGCTTTATGCCTTTGTAAAGCATTCTGCATCTTGAACTGTGTAGAGAGTGCACTGGGTAGATGGACTTGCCAGACCCTCATGCTACCTGCCTCTATGCCTTCCTTGCTGCCCTCCATACTTGCCTGTCCTCTCCCGCCTCAGTGCAACATAGTAAACAATGGCAACAGAATTCCCATACAGAACAACCAAATAATGTCCACTGAGTCAGGACTTGCCTTTGATTAGCCACAATAGGGTAACGTTGGGAGCAGGGGGGTGGACTATAGTGAACAAGCCAGAGCATGGAAATGGGGAGGAGAGGTGGTTCCTTTTTGATCATTAAAAGCAAGAAGTCCCTCCTCTTCCCCCCCCCCCAAAAAAAAAACCTGCAAAGGGAATTCATTTTTTCCCTTGTCAATATGTAACCATGCCCCCTGCATGGGTCATTTGTGGGGAATGAACACCGGACCTCTGGATCAAAAAGCATGAGGCCCTATTTGCTTGAGCTAAATGATCAGATCCTCAGCTGATCTAAATTGTCAGAGCTCTATTGACTTCAATGGAGCTATGACTGTTTACACCAGCTGATGATCTACCTATAAACTAGCCTACTCTTTTGGAAGCAGTCGCAGGCTCATACATCTCTATATATGGTCCAGCCACTAAAAGGATCAAAGACCTACACTCTGCCAGTCAGGACTGCATATATGCAGAACATCATTTTCTCTTGGTCATTGAAGTAACTAGCTGAACATGGTAGCTGTAGAACACATGCAGGTGTGGCCTCAAAGATTTTGTCAGCATGAGTCTCAGAAGATCTACATAACTCCTGAGTGATGAACCCACACACAAGTGATGTATGCAGGTCATCCCAAATAGATGCCAATAAAATCTTTTTAGCAAAGTACACCATTCTGTTTTCTCCATTTGCCACATTTTACATTAAAAATATTTAGCAGTTATGTTCACAGCATACAATACACCACAGAAATATTTATCTTCTTTTTATTAGTACTGTTTTTGTATCCTTCCACATTACATGCCTTGGAATCATGTCTGACAAAACAGACCACAAAGGCAGACAATACAGTCTGAAAGTTCTAACTATGGAAAAGCTATCTTAGGCTATTAACAGTGGTGTCAGGATTTTAAGCTCTGATCATACCTCTCAAAGAAACCTCTTTTTAAGGAACGTCTTTCAATTTAATCCCATAATTCCCTACATTCCTCACAGATTTGGTGTCCCTCTCATTTTTTTTTTATGTTTCACAGGATACAAACAGAGAAGCCAAATAAAAACAAAATACTCGTACTGGAAGATTGCAACATAACACTACATTATTTCTTAGAAATCAGAATGATAAAAGAACCCAGAAAAAGAGAGAGACAAAGCAGGCTGCTCCCTAAAACAGAGAAGCATAACTCATCTCACCTAACTCTAGGCTGTCTGTCTGCTGACAAACTGTGCTAGGCCCAGACTACATGCTTCCCTACAGACCCCATAACCTGCAAGCAGGACCAAGAAACCTCTTACTCTTAAAGTAATAATGTTAAAATTTGTACATGGTCTTCAATACACCGCCCTTTTGTTTAAAATTATTTAAGACAGAAGTAACGGGGTCATTACACTAAATAGGTGAATCCCACAGCACTGTAATGTACCTGCATGAATAATTTTATGCCCCTTTTTGGTCTTTGTCACATTTGTGCCTTGGCAAGTTGAGAGGTATGGGTCTAATATCACACAGTCTATCAGAGTTAGAAACAAATTGATTTCCCCACTGGAAAGATTGGTGTAATAATGGTGTCTATCAGGCCGACCCCAATTGTGAGCACAACTGTTAGAAAGTGGGTGAAAGTTCACAAAATGTTACCATCACCTATAACAAGTGTGGACAGAAAAAGATATGAAAGGGAGACAGAGACTGGACTAGTTCAGACAGAAAGCTCTACTGATCCAACCCCAGGGCTGTGTTGAGATCATATCTGGTTAATAAGAGAATGGAAATTAATGGACCAAAATTGATGTGCTAGAAATCAGGACTAACTGGTGGACAAGTAATGAGGGTATGAGCTATTCTACCCAGCGCCACCCTTTTAGGGTTCTTATAAAAGGGACTCTCCGGGGATCAAATAGGGAATAGACTCCTGGGGGAATCCCTTGAGCAAAGGCCAACAGGCTTCTGCTTCATTCCAGAGACTGTCCTTCGCTGGTGGACCTTGATCATCAGTATGTCTAGACCAGCACACCAGTGAGGACGCCTGATGATCACTGCTGGACCAGTGAGGATCCCAGACTGATATACGTGAGATTCTACCCTGTCTTCCTTTTCCTTTGCGTCCACTACTATCTTCCTCTGGGGCTCTGTCTGCTAGCTTTACACCTGAGCCAGAGACCAGTCGCACCACCTGACACCAGCACAACAAGATTAAATGGCTCATTGAAGTCCATGCAGCCTGAGATGGATAAAGGAGAGGGACCTGACCGGACCAGCCATATGACATCCCAGACCAGGGAAGTGAGCCAGAGTCCAGAGCAATAGCTGTCATGGCCAACCTGACAGCCCAAAGCATCCACCTGTGACTGACCATCCCTTTGTATTGTGAGAATGTCAACAAAAGCCTTATTTCTCCCACCTTTACTATCCTTTTTCTTCCTTCCTTTTTCTTTCTGTTTTGCCAGAAGCAGAAAAAGTAACCACCATTCTCAGAGGTCAACTCAATATACAACAGAACTAATCCTTTCTTCTCCACTAAGATGGACTGTTTGACAAAATATGAGACTTTAACCAATATCCTCGCTCTAAAAAGGACTTTGATAAGTTTGGATTAAGTTTGTTTTGCATAACCACTCTATTGCAAGATGTTTTTTCTCTTGTGTGACCTAATCAATACATTTCCAAACTTTGGCCTTTTTTTTTTTGTTTGTACCCTGGGATTAAGCTGACCAAGGTCTCTCTGCTCATCATAACCCCAAACCATATTGGACTATTTGGTGTTGTACAGTGACAGGGTCAGGTTAATACCTTTGACTCCCTGGGCTCACCTATTCCATTGAAATTAACACAACAGTTCTTTACTTCCTAATGTGAAGTGGTTTCCTTCTCTATAGGCCAAATGGATTGTGAGCTATCCTTTCACTGGTTCAGGAGTGAATATCGCCTGCTCTGGGCCTTGGCCCAGTGGAAGTCTTGAAGCAGAAATTATATATTTGGAGGGAAAATATTGCTCTGGCAAGTTGTTTTATTAGAAATATGCAGCGACAGTTTGAAGCTGCTCAGAGGTTTGGAATGTCCCCAAGGAAAAGAGCTCAGGTGAGGTAGTCAAAGGTGTATGATTAATGCAGTTTGTCACAGGAGTTTTCATTTTATCAAATGGATATCACCACCACATATATGATATACTTGGTTAGATTTTCTAATCAAAAGAAAAAGATACTCTAGGTGGAGCCTGGTCTGGCAAAGCATTATCTGAACCTACTGCACAAACATAGAATAGGGTATAAAATGAACCCTTCTGAATGTAAGGGGTACTTATCCGAGATCCAAATTCTCTCTCTTTTCTTTTTGAGAATTCCACACTGCAATGGACCAGAAGGGGATCCAGTTACTGTCAGTCATCCTCATTTTAGGGCTCAGTGCACTGACTGAAGGAGCAGAACCCCCAGGTAAGTATATTTATTTGCTATTGCATTCAGAAGTACTTACATGGGCCTGATGCTGCTGATTTCAATAGCAGCAAGAGCAGAACTCCTATTTGTGTACAATAAAATATTAACATTTCATCTCAAGGTATTGTTCCATGACCCTGATCTGGCTGCTACTGAACTCAATAGCAAAAATCCCCCTGACTTCACTGGGAGCAAGATTAACATTCATACGCTTAGCAAAATAAGCAGCAACCTACAAAAAGGAGTAGTAATAGACATCGAACCTGGTACTAGAAAACCAGAAAGATCTTGCCTCATGATGTGCTATTGTAGCCAATTCTCTGCAAAAAGCACACTGTTTATTTTAACTTATACCACACTGTTGTGCCAATACAAGCAGAAAGTTGTATATAAATACTGCATAATCAGACAAAGAAATCCAATTAGACAACCCAAGAAATGGGCAGCAAGTAACTAGGTTTGATGCATTTAGACAGCTTTTATTGAACCAATCTATTACTGATGCCTCTACTGTAAGATTAGAATGTTAAAATTCCAGCTATTACAATTTGCATCTGATCCCTTATTTTACAATAACCTGACTACCATGGTTTTGCATCTTCACAACTATACTAATTTGCATGGAACCCTTCTCTCTCTCTTTCTTTCTAAAAGATCAGCAAAGGTGTCAAAATTTGCTGGATCTGGAATAGTATATGATGTTACATTCTTACTCCTGGGCCTGATCCAAAGTTTACTGAACTCAGTGGGCCTCATTCCATTACCTGAATGGGCTTTGGGGGAGGTCACTAATTCTTAATGGGTGAAACCCTGGTCCCACTGAAGTCAATGGAAGTTTTGCCATTGACCTCAATGGAGCCAGTATCTTCATACTGTTGAAAAGCTGTAGACCAAATGATTTCTGGCTTCAGTGGGTCATGGAGAATTTATGTTTGCAAGATTGTTTGAAACCAGTGAAAGTGCCACTGATAAAAAAAACACTAATAGGGATAACGAGAGAGAGATGGTAACACTGATTTTTGTTCTAAACAGCTCCATGCCAATGTACTGTGGCTCCAAAAAACAGAGTGAACTGCGGGCCTCCAGGAATCACTGCCAAGCAATGCGAGGACGCAGGATGCTGTTTCAATTCAGAAGTTCCTGGCGTCCCCTGGTGCTTCATTCGTCTCGCAAGGAAATGTAATGTACCTTTCTGAAACATGTCTGATTTCCCTAGTGCTTAACTATGCAAAAATGTGTCCAGGTGGGAAACAGTGCTACTTACACAATAAGAAGGACAACCAAATGGGTGCAGATTTCTATTAGAACGCTGCAAAGAGTGAGGACAGTGAAAAATACTAGCGTAGGCAACATTCAACCTTACTTTCAAGTCTCTTATATCTCTATTTTTCTCACATGCTCTACATCAGTCATTTGCTTTCTCTCCTGGATAGAAGTTAGCAAGTAATTAAAAGTGGCCCCCATCTGCAGCCGTGTTGACTAAAGTTAGGAATGTCTTTGTTAATTTATATTTGTTTTCTAAGTGGCTGTCCAGGGCTAGAGTTACTCCACATCAAGTCTGATCCAAGGCCAGGAAAAAAAAAATCTTTAAGGGGACATGAGCCCATCTTTAACTGCTTAGTGCCTTCTGCAAAAGACCCCTGGGTCTATCTTCTCTCCAGTCCCTCCAAACTCCTGATACTTCTCTCCATTCTCACTCACTCCCCATTTTAACTCCAGTTTTCTGTTCTCCTCCCCTCCCCCGCACTCATTCACAGCATCCCTCCCATTATGCTCTTCAGGTAAGGTGCCCCAACTGCAGAACCTCAACCCCTGCTTTAGCTTCTTCCTTGAATAAGTCCTATGGATCCTGTATTATTTTGTTTTTTTCCTTAAAATTTGAAAAGATGTTCCCAAACTTTGTCTCTAACGGACACCAGACTTAACTGAATAGGAATTGTAGGGCCATGGCTCTGATCCTGAAACATGTAGCATATAGGGAAATTCTGCTGTGCTTGCATGCTTCATATAGCAAGATTTGAGCCATAGATGTTACTCAAGACACTAAGGACTTGACTGAGGAAACTATTCTATAGTGATTCCAGGCTGGAGATAGAAACTCCGCCATAGAGTTGGTCCCTATACAGAATAAATGAATTAATTAATTTAGCCTCAAAAACCTCTAGAGTACCTTGCAAAGACCTCAGAGCTATGTGGTGTCCAGTCCTATTAATAAATATCTAAAGGGGCTGCCTTTTCCTTTTGTTTTATTGTATCCATAATGCTTAATTCTAATTTAGTACTATCCACTGAAGTCAAGAAGGGCAAGGGATTCTTATCTGTAAATGAAGCCACCAACTCTTAACACAAGTAGTTGGAGGATATTGAACATGTACACTGGAGCAAGTTTGTTTCTGGCTAACAAGGAATAGACAGAGAAGTAGTGAAACACCTACATTCAAGAATATCCTCTCTTTGGTACCCAGAGTATTTAGGCCATAGAATTCAAATCCTTTTATTTTAGGGCCAAGAGAAGAAACAACATCAAACAGACATGGGATGATACACCCCTTTTCAACACCCTTCTCCAAAAGAAAGAGGTGTAGTTTTACCTGAAAAACGCTTGAGAACTAAAGAGCTCTTAAAAAGAAAGAACAATCCCATTTCAACCCTGCTTTTAGGCAACTTATGCCAGAGGAGAGTCCTACTAAGAACACCCAAAGGGCAGCAAACCCTGTGTAAAGCTTTTCCTGTAGTATTAGATATTTATAAACATATTGACTAGGAGAGACAATGCAAAGTACTCATCAACAGTAGAATGGTAAGTGTAGAAACTCTCTTATTATTCACATAACTACTGCACATCAGACCTGCTGTAGCAGTATGGTTCACAGACACCTTAATACTTTACGGACTAGGTTCAGCATCCATAAGTCATTTGGTCTCTATCATGATGAGTCATTTTTATTACCTTTCATAAAGATAAGATGGATAATGCTTCCATTCCAGCCCCCAAGTAGCCAAATCTCTATTCAGCAGTGAGGAGGAGTGGGGGAAAACAAACAAACAAACAAAAACCAGGGTCAAAGAGAAAAGAATATAAGTGTGATTCAGTTCTGAAAATCAAGCATTCAAAAAAGGCAGCTTCTTGCTCAGCAGGTTTGCTTCCCCCCTGTATTCAGTTCTTTCCTGTTACCTTAATGACACAACCAGATCTTTACTCCTGTCGACCCTGAAGAGCCACCACAGCTCTGGGCGGAAGATACGTTTTATTCCTTCTTTTGCATCATCAACAACTTTCTGCTCTAAGTTCTAATTAGTTAAAGCCATGCAAACTCATTGAAGGCAACTGGAGTTGCACATTTAGCACTGAGGGCATAATATGAAAATAGTGAGATTGCATACTTGTAACAGGCAGTTTTCTAACTGAACCTTTATTACAATTTATACAATACATGAGACAGAAAGAAGCCATCTGGGCCGTCAGAGCCCAGACTGATTTTGTACTCTGAGAATTAGGAGGGCGAGGAGGGAATCATTTTATTTTATAAATGGAACATGTTTCTTATGGGAATCATGAGAAACAAATGGCAGAATCGCACAGTGCCATTTTTACAAATTCACTTTTCAGAGCAGGACTGTACATCAATAAATATTATTGTGCAGGAACACCATACCTGGGCTGCATGGTGGTGAGATATGCCCACATAAGTTTTTCCACAGCTGCTGAAGGGGAATTGGAGATTTACCAAACAGATATGCACAGCTACAGTTATCAGTTGATGTCAGTTCTGCAATGGTCTCCTGGATCCCGATGTGAGCTTTCACCACTAGTTTGAAGCATGGACCCTGATTACCTCCTAAGCAGCCTACTTCCCTCACATGATTGAAGGCTGAGCACTGATATAACCAATTCCCCTCAGTCTGACCTACTTGCTGAACAACTGCTCTTGTCTGTCCACCTAGGCTGTGCTCCTCCCACCAGGCTAAGAAGGTACAACACCCTTGTTAAGAGCCAGATTCTGATTTCTGAGGCTTTAGGGAACCTTTCTCAGATCTGCCCTATGAAAGGGTCAGGCTGAATTGCAGTCTATGTGATCTGGAGAACACAGGTTCTGTTCCATTCTGACTCCCTAGGGCAGGGGGAGACACCACCATTGTTTTTAGTGGGGAGGGGTGAGGAAGAGGCAAGATCATGACTCCACCATTGACTCTGCTCCTGCATGCTAGGTAGTTCTAGGAAGCATTTTGCCTCTGAGGCACAATTCCTCCCCACGATCCTGCTGAGGTGGGAGGGCTCCCCACCCCCCTTTATTTTGGACTTAAGCTAAACAGGCATAGCTTTGCCCCATGTGAATCTGGTACCTTTGTTGAGAAGATTGGCCTGGCTGTCATGTTCAGTGGCCAAACCTCACTAATGTATTGTTTAAGTTCTAAGCTGCATTGTTGTCATGTTACACGTGCCCCAGATCAGAGAAGTTTACACTCTGTACAAAGCCAATTATTACACAATTATTAAAACATTTAACCTTTTGCTTCCAGGTACTGGGATCTGGTTTTGATTCCTTCATTCTGCTGGATTATTTAAATCAAGCAGTTTCTGCGGTTAGCACCTTCTGTAGGAAATGTGGGCCAAATTCTCTGCCCCCACTGCACTCCCTTTACCTCACTCAGAGCAATGAGAGCGGCCAAAGCACCATGCACTCCCACAATCCCCATCTAGCAGCTGGTCCCTAGTTGCTCTAAACTGCATCTGTGACCAAGGCTGGGTGTAGAATCAAGGAGCTGTAACGGGCTCCCTGACAGAACCCTCCTCCCCCCACCACACCCAGCACATGTTTGATGCAGCAGGGACTCTGTCTCTCAATTTTTATAACCAAGTCCAGTGCTATTAAAGTAACAGTTTGTCAGTGGATTACAAATAAACATCATGTACGCCTCCACCTACCTGTCTGTAGCCATCTGATGTCTGGTCTTACACTTAGATTGTCAGATGTCTGGGGCAGGAACTGTGTTTTTGTTCTGTGTTTGATCAGCACCTGGTCCATGACTGGGGGTCCTGGGTGCTATGGTAATATTAATAATGAATAGAATAAAAGAAGCCTAAGGTAACGTGCCTTTTTAAAAAAAAAACAGATAAAAAGGTCTGTCCAGCAGAGGTAAAACTCAGAAAGAACTGTGGTTACCCCGGCATCCCTGCTACAGTATGTAAGGCGAGAGGATGTTGTTTTGAGTCAAGACCCCCTGCTGTCGCCTGGTGCTTTTATCCTCTTCTGGTAGAAGAAGGTAAGTTATGTGTGTGAAGTAAAGTTAATTTTCTCAGGGCATGAACACATAGAGGCTTGTAGTTGGGAATTTTACTCTTTTACTTTCTGATCTACATGAGACTTTGCAGGCTAAGCGTTAGTAGAGAATTCCCTTAGACTAAGCTTCATGGAGTCTTCCGTCATTATTTGCTTGTGTTGAAGGCTTGCATGCTCAGGGTGTGAGTGAGGTAGAGGTCTTTAATGTTTAAAAAAGGGGGGATGAATAATCATAGAAATGTGGGCCTGGAAGGGACGTCAAGAGCTCATCCAGTCCATCCCCCTATGCTGAGGCAGGACATAACAATGTATTACATGACACTCACTGCTGTTATAATGTTGCCTGCAGTGATGCAAGATGTGTGGCGATAAAGGGATAAGACAGTTCTTGTGCATACAGTACTTAGTACTGGGTGTCAGTGCCACAAGGAGGGCACAGGAAGGTGGTTCAGAGTCCAGATGGGGCATCTCAGCCTCTCTGGAACTTCCCCTCTGTGGATCACAGCCCTCAGCTTAGTCATCTCCTCTGTGTCACAGAAATAATAACACCTTTACACACGCTCCTTGATAGATCTTCATAACTCATGTGCCTTAAACATATAGAAAGATGTGTAAGAGGGAACTGTTGTGCTGAATAATTGCCTGACATACCACTTTTTGTTATCTGCCACAGGCAAACACGTGCTTTTAGTCTTCTGTGGATCTGATGAAAAAATTCAACTCTTAACCCATTTCCCTTCTTTCTCCCCTAGATTGTTAGAGACCATGCACCAGGAAATTGCACCAGGAACCTCTCTGTCAATGGATATACTCACACAGGAAAATAATAGAAAACCTTCACATCTTACACTTCGCACTCTGTAATAATTCTGATTTCCAGATCATTTTTGCCTTGGATTTACTCCTTTTCCGATGACCCAGTTAATCATAGCTTTTATTCTTTTTAGTAGGTTGGTACCAAGCAGCTGTCCAAAGCAATAAAAGAATCAAAACAAAATGTATAAATGCTGAGTTGTCCTTTGTTTTTAATTGTCCCAATATTTCTCCCTTCCTCTAGATGTACATACTTTAGTGCTCTGCAGATGAGACATTAGTCAAAATATTTCGACACAAACCACAGGACTTTCAGTTAGGGTCAGATTGCGATGCCCTTACCAGAGCTGGGGGGAATTTTTTGATGAAACTGTTGTTGTAAAATGCCTATTTGTTGAAACTGAAACTTTTCACAAAATTATGACAGTTTCTACAAAACTTTCACTGGGGAGGGTTCTTGGGTCCAGGAGGGACTTTCTCTTCAAAACGCTAATAGTCTCTGTGGGAACTAGGTTCAAATCCATGCTCTGCCCAATTCAGAGCAGGAACTTGAAGTGGTATCTTGCTCATCCTAGGTGAGTGCTTCAGCCACTGGCTATTGTCTCACCTGGCTGCTGCTTGAAAAATTTTAAGGGTCTCAATTTTGTCCCATTAAGGAAGGGAAAAATCCTTGACCTCTACAATTTTTGCTGGACCAGAAATACCATTTCCCATCCACCTCTAGTTTGTACTCATAATGGCTCATTCACTTTAAGGTCCCTTTACATTGATGGAATAAAGGACTAATCAGATACCTCCAGAGCAAGAAGTACAAATGACTACAACTTGAGCTAAAGAGCCAAGCTCTGTAGCTGTGAACTTTAACAGCCTGGCATCCTCAAGCTCAGTCACAGACCTAACTTACATTGAGCGGTGGGTTAGATGCTGATAGCTGTAAATTGTGGCAGATTAAGTAGTTATTAGACACAATTCCCTCCCTACTTGATATAAGGAACACACACACTAAGAAGTGGCAGAGTCAGAACAGTAAGGAATTGCTGTGTAGAGCTGGTGAACTACACGACTCAGAGATGGTTTCAGGAAACCTCTGCAATTCATTCATTTAGGAATCCTGCCAGGAGAGTGCAGCAGATTGAGAAAACATTGTAAAATAGGTACCTTTACTGGATTAAAGGAAGAGTGCTTCTGTACAGCTGAACAAATAATGGATTGTTTGCTTTTTTTTGGTTTGCTGGCAATTTTGAAAACAATTCAAAAAAGTTTAGTTTGGTCTCAAACCGAAAAAGACATTTTCTGAATTTTTTTAGCAAATTGAAAAAATGTTTGAGTCAAAATCTTTTTGGTAACTGTCATAAATATAAAGGGAAGGGAAAATTCCTTTAAAATCCCTCCTGGCCAGAGGAAAAACCCTTTCACCTGTAAAGGGTTAAGAAGCTAGTATAACCTCACTGGCACCTGACCAACGAGGAGACAAGATACTTTCAAAGCTGGAGAGGGGGAGAAACAAAGGGTCTGTGTCTGTCTGGGTGATGCTTTTGCCGGGAATGGAGTCTTAGAACTTAGTAAGTAATCTAGCTAGATATGCGTTAGATTATGATTTCTTTAAATGGCTGAGAAAATAAGATGTGCTGAATGGAATGGAGATTCCTGTTTTTGTGTCTTTTTGTAACTTAAGGTTTTGCCTAGAGGGATACTCTATGTTTTGAATCTAATTACCCGGTAAGGTATTTACCATCCTGATTTTACAGAGGTCATTCTTTTTACCTTTTCTTCTTTTAAAATTCTTCTTTTAAGAAACTGAATGTTTTTTTCATTGTTCTAAGATCCAAGGGTTTGGGTCTGTGGTCACCTATGCAAATTGGTGAGGATTTTTATCAAACCTTCCCCAGAAAAAAGGGAGGTAAGATTTGGGAGGATTTGGGGGGGAAAGACGTTTCCAAATGAACTCTTTCCCAGTAAGCGGTGTTAGACGTTTGGTGGTGGTAGCAAAAGTCCAAGGGCAAAGGGTAAAATAGTTTGTACCTTGGGGAAGTTTTAACCTAAGCTGGTAAAAGTAAGTTTAGGAGGTTTTCATGCAGTTCCACTTTCATAAATAATTCAATAGTCTCCACAGCAAGGATTTGAATTTAGGCCTCCTACATGAGGGCCTCAACTACCAGGCCATAGAATCATTGTCATTCGCTTTCCTTGGCCAAGTGACCATCCATTGTCATCATGAAGGGCTGTAACTGAGCAGGATGTTTGTGGATCACAGTAGTGGCTAAATCTGGGATTTAGGCACCTACATTCCTTTGTGAATCTGGGCCCTGGAGCCGTGTCCCTGTGTGGCTCCTGCAAATGCTAACACCAGTATAACTGATTCAGTGCTGGAGCTGGCATGGGGGCGGGGGCGTGGAGGATCTTTGGTACATTCCTCAGTATGTGCTGGTTGTAGCCCATCTCTGTGTACACATGCTCACGAGAGCTAGAGGCAATGCTTTGGGCTAGCACCCAAAAGGTGCTCTCCACCCTCAATTGCCCCTGAAGTTAGTGAGCTCCCAGTCACACTGGTGTCAGTGGAGTTACTCCTAACTGTAACATCAGTGTGCGATATCAGGCCCTGGGGCAGCTGAGTGCATGCCCCAACTCACATCCCTTTTACACCACTAACTGCTCACAGCAGAGTCAGTTGCCATGAAAGAAATGATGTCAGGAAATAGGCCAACCACACCCTGATATACAAAGCCACAATTCTGGCACCACCTAGTGGAATAGGAGAGGTACATTTATTTATGTTATTACCCTTGCTTAATCACTGCATTATTTAAGAGTGGTAGCTGTGTTAGTCTGTATCAGCAAAAACAACAAGGAGTACTTGTGGCACCTTAGAGACTAAAAAATGTATTTGGGCATAAGCTCTCGTGGGCTAAAACCCACTTCATCGGATGCATCCGATATGCCCAAATAAATTTGTTAGTCTCTAAGGTGCCACAAGTACTCCTCGGTTTTTTTGTATTAATTAAGTGGTCTCAGCTGGGTTTTGAATGAACACTTTATAGAGTTGAATGCACTGGAAGAAGGGAGCATTTCATTGCTTTGCACCTGCTATTGTTTTTCAGGACTATTCAGGGTTAAGACTTTAACTTTGAAAGAAAGCTTTAACTTTAAGAAAGCTTAAACTTTGCCAATTGCTACAAAACAATTATGATTGGTAATTTTTTTGCATGTGCAACTAGTGCTTTTCTCCTGGCCTTGGTAACTATTGGAACTGGCCAGCACACCAGACTAACCTAAGAAAGCTTCCATGGCTCTTTTTGTGACTATACTGGTCAGGACGGTGGGTTTATCTCAATATGTCTAAAGGTACTTATATGCCCTCCCCTTATCATTATATCTGAGCAGCTCACAACCTTTAATGTATTTATTTATCCACACAACACCACTGTGAGTTAGGGCAGTGCTCTTATCCCCATTTTACAGATGGGGAACTGAAGCACAGAGAGGCTAAGTGACTTGCCCAAGATCTCATAGGATGCCTGTGGCAGAGCAGGGAATTGAGCGCTCCTGATTTGTGCCCTAATCGCTGGGCCAACCTTCATTCCTCATTTTAAAAAAAAAGCCCACTATTTCCATACGCAAAAATACTAAAACTCTATGTTTGGCTTTGTAGTAAACTATCTACTTAACGTATTTCAGTGATCAGACTGCAGGACTTTTGGGCTTCTATATGAAGATTAGTATAATTAAACAGTTAAATTAAATCTCTGGTTCATGGCCCAGGCAAGCACAGAAAATAGTAGAGCTGGTCAAGAACTTTGACTAGAAAAATAGGGTTCCATTTCTTAACTTTCCCTATAAGATACCACATAGTATTTATCGGAACTATGGAAAGGAAAACCAAGGGAGTGAGCTTTGCAGCAGATCAATGGCATGTTTAGTCATTTGGTGTGGCCGATCAGATCGTAAGGGTGACTGCGTCATATCAACTACACCCTTGTGTACATGAATGACTCCTAACAAAATACTTAGTAGGTCTCATATTTTTGATAACTGATTCTCTTAACAGGCTTTCCCCTAAAAGGTGGGATTATGTCTAAACGGAGGTGATATAAAAATCAAACAATTAGGGTTAGACTGTGAGTGACCCCTGCTTAACCAGGGACACATAAGAAGTCTTCCTGTGCCACTTGGTTGGCTGTGTAACAGCCACTCACAATAGCAGTCTGTGTGCGCCGGGGAATGGGCAGGGCCGTGGCTCCACACCAGCATATGGAGCAGGGCCAGTGCACTGGGTGCGGGATGTTCTTCTCCACCCTAATCTATGGAGCAGATTGCTTATTGCCCGTACACAAGGAACAGCCCTGGCAGAGACTCTGTTCTCCAAGATGCAATCTCTGGTGTGGCTCTGCACCACCCTCTTTTCAGGATTGTGGCTTAAAAACTACAATCTATCCTAAAGTGTTATCTCAGAAATAAACACACAGCAGCACACATTTGTCTAAGATGGGTGGAAACACCACCACCCTGAATGTTTGCCTCTGCACCATTTCAGCTGCACCTAAACTGAGAATTGCAGGGACTACTCCCATCATTGGTCTCACACTGGTGCAGTTCCAACCGTGCTAGCAATAGGAGGAGTGCTTTGCCAAGTCCTTGAGGAATTTACTGTTTCTCTTACAGACTGAGCTCTCTGAGCTGAGAATTTCAACTTTCATTTTTTAAAAAAATAGCTTCTAGTCCTCATGGTTTCAGAGAAAAGCCTGAAAAACTGAGCCCAATGCACCCTAAAAACTCAGAAACCAAGTCATATAAAAAAACCCTCAAAAATATTTTCTAAAATCTCATATTTTTTAAGCCAATTGTGTGATTTTGGGGGGCTTACTCGTTATTTCTGAATGTTTGGGATTAGCAATATTGCTAGTGTAGACTGCCTGGCGAGCTGTCTAGAGTGGCTCGTGTCCGGGAAGAAGCAGGGCACAAACCCCAAACTGGTTGTGAGTTCTAAACTTAGATTTCACCAACCAAGTATCCAGTGTGAATTCCTCCAGCACTACAACAGCCTTAACATGGAGTCACAGACAGTCCCCTTGGGCTGCCGCCTAGGCAAGCTTGCCTTTGTGATGGATGATCCCTTACACCAAAAATCACCACAATATTCAAGTTACTTCTAGTCCCAGAGGACCAGTCACTTATCCCAGATCAATTGTACCTCAGATCTCAAACCAAAGACAATTCTTGTAGCCAATTCCATAGTCCTAACTAAATAAAAAGAAATAAGCGAGTTATTTACAAGGTTAAAGCAGGTAAACATGCACACACAGGAGCTACCATCTTAGATTCCAAAAGGTGATAGCAGCTGCTATATATGCAAGCGCTCTGGGTCGCTTTAGGGCTAACCCAAACTAAGGGCTTGTCTACCCTACGCAGCTTTTAGCGACAAGGCTGTGTCGACACAGCCTTGTGACTAAAAGTCAGTGTGCGTGAACACTGTCGACTTTTGCCGACAAAATACTTCCAGCCCCGCGAGAGGTGTTAGCTTTGTCGGCATGAGAGCGCTCCTGCCAACAAAGCTGCATTCATGCTGCCACTTGCGTCAGCAAAACGCTTGTGTTTTGCGGGGGGGGGCTTTTTTAAGTACCCGTGAAAGACAAAAGTTTTGTCGACAACATTGTTCAGTAGACAAGCCCCAAGCTGCTTGGGGATCCCTTGCTTATGCTTCAGATTATTGCCCTCTCCGAACTCCAAGCAGCATAGTGATACAGTTCCTCCTTGTCAGACACCTTTATTCCCTTCCCCCAGAGTTCAAGCTGATGGGGTGAGTTCATGCTCAGGTCCCCTATTCCTGGAGGTGGAGGGAGCAGTCAACACAGTCTTTGTCCTTTGATGTGTCACAGTGGCTCCTTTGGTTTCAGTGGGCTTTCTTGTGTACAGGACCAGCACTTTACACTAATGAATGCTTCTTTCCTGTTTGGTGAGTTGCATAATTAGAGAGCTTTACAATGCAAACACTCGGCATAATTTATACCAGGGGCTCCAGATGTTATAAGTGAGATCAATACATGCAGCACCCTACGAGCATTTCATCAAGTCTAAACACTAAATGCATTTGTATCAACTTAACATCTACTTTAACAATGCTAACACACCAGTGAGCCAGACTGGTTCCCAGCTGTGCATTTGTCAGTGTTCAGTGAGGCCTAGGGGCCTTGGCATGAGCTGGCACCTTGTCTGCCAGCATCACAATGCCCAGGGGCAGTTCTCCCAAAGTAAAGAGTGCTTGTGGATGACCAGTCCACTTCAAAGTCTGAACACTTTAGAGTCATCTTCTAGGCCCCTATCTGGCAAAGGGTTCCATATGGATGGACTGGTGCTTTCCTATGGAGTCCCACTGACTTCACTCAGACTCTGCATGTGTGTGAGGGTCCACCACAGAGATCCTGTTACAGGGTAGGGACCTTAGCACCTTTTCTTTTGAGACACACCCAGTACAAAGGTTTAAAAAGCAGGGATGAAATCTTGCCCCATTGAAGTAAATGGGAGCTTTGCCACTGACCTATTTGGGACCATGATCTCACCCCAGATCCTTTTATCCAGCTGTTAGATCTACCAGCTTCTAATGCTAATCCAATTCTTTTCTGTGTGACTATTGTATCTGGAATAAGAGGGCTTAAACTGGTAAACAAAAATATTACCCTACTACCACCATGGTCAGCAGGTAATTTCTTGTCAGACAGGTTCTGGGGCTTAAAAAAGATTCTACAAACAGGGTATTTGCAACCACATAGTAAAGACAGTAATATAGACACTGTGTCTCAGAGGACTCAAAATAACTATTACCTATTGGGTTTCTGATAATAAATAATAATAATAATAGTAAAAATATATTGTGATGTACATGATGTCCAGACTACAATGTTTTTACCAGTAAACCCATAGATATGAGCGTACAGCAAATTGGCATTCTGAATACTGCATTAGAATGAAAAATTTCAGTTATTAGCCTCGCCCATTTTTCTCTACTATAGAATCAACAGTCTGTTTCAAACTAGTGCAAACCCGTGAGTGTGTATTTGTGGGCTGCAGAATTTTAGGTATGGGGATCTGGGTAACGCCCTTGCTGCTCCTTTGTTTGCACGAGGCCTCCTGATATCTGAGCATTGGTAACCACAGAAAGAAGATACAGGCTGCAGCATGCAGCAGTGGCCCATTTGCTGGAGATGTTTTGTCTGCTAGGGAGAAACAGGTGCTGCTGTTGGCATCTCTCCCAGAGGATCAGAGATACAAAGTAATATATGTGATATGTTATTTTTTACATTCCTTCCTGATCCCTTTCACACTCTTGCCTCTTGAATGCACCTTGTCGTTCGTGGGGGTATTCCGGTGATCACATAGCTGAGTTCCCCACTGCAAAAAAGACACATACAGAGAAAATACATTTCTGTGGAAAATCCTGAGCAAGCCCCATTACACTAGTACACTGGTGAGACACAAGGCAAATCCTCAATTGCCCTTAGTTCTTACCTAGGCAAAACTCATTTGACTTTGGTGGGAGTTTTACAGAGTAAACTGTGCACAGAGTTTAGCTATATTTTACATAAGTGGATTCCCTGTAGTAATCAATACAATAGCTTACATTGATATCAGTCTACACCTTTCACCACTTGGCCCCCATCACCGTAAGTAATCAGAATAACCTTCAACTCTTTAATGTATTTATCTTCACAACATTCCTAAGAGATAATGAAGTACTGTTTTTCCAGGTTGGAGACTGAGGACCTAACTTGCCCAAGATCACATGTGGAGTTCATGGGAGAGCCAGGACTTGAATTGAGGTCTCAGAAGTCCCAGCTTAGTGGCCTAACCACTGGACTGTCTTTTAGCTTCATCTAAAACTACTTTCCATCCCACAATGCTTTAATAAACTCTATACAGGACTTATTTTAGGCACCACCAAAATGCAACTCTCTGGAGAGGAATATTGAAACTTTTTAAGGGAATGATCGTTCCATTGAAGTCGGTGTTAATTTTGCCACCAGCTTCAATGGGACCAAGCTCAGGCCCTAACAGTACATAGCAAAAATACACAATTAAAGACAGGACAAGAATAAAAAACCTGAATACAATTCAAGTGCTGGAGGGATTTATATAAGCAAAATGTAGTTATCTAAATTGAACAAGGACAACAGGGGCTGACATCCTCACTCTTCAAAAAAGCCATGCTCTGGAGTCTTCAGTGATGACGAGTCCCTTAATTTCCCCTCTAGAGTGCACTTTCACCAGTACAGGTACCCCAAAGACCACATGGGGATATTGCTTCAGGGCTGATTCATAAAAGGGAGGAGTGCTTCTTAATACAGAATCGCAAATACATTTCTATGGGGTGTACATGAATGAAATAACTAATGTTCCCAAGGAGTGCTTGTTAGCTGAAGTGCTGGTTTTTCAAACCACTGATATTCTCATATGGCTGACATTTTATAGGGCAGTAGGACATTATCAAAAGCCATGTTGTTCTAAGTTTAAACATTAATGTGAAAAAGGAGCTGGTAGTTACCCAGCATTAGGGAACCCGACAATGTCTCTTGAATGTTCTGAACTTCTGATCACTTCAAGGACTGAATGAATCTAATTTTTATTGCTACAAGAGCAGCTGCTCCTGATGATCCATCTCCAATATTTAATCAGTGATATGCTAATCACTGAGCACCTGAATTATGTTGCTCATAAAATAATATTGTATAGCTGTACTGCAGATCCCTATTGAAAGACAAAAAAAGAAAGGGTTCCATTTAATAACGACGTGAAAGATTAAGTAATACCTACTTAGACTTCACAGATTTCCATCTGTAAGCAGAACTTGGAGAGAGAACTGAGTATTAAGACCTATCAATTCAATTCGAGACTAGAGCTGGGTGAATTTTTTGTGTGTGCTGAAAAATGCAATGTTGGTCAACCTGACACTATTTCAGAATTGGGCCCTTTTGGTTTTGACCAGCTTCAGAACAAAAGAGCGTGTGTGTGTTCATTCCCTGTGAGCCTAGTGGTTCGGCCATCTGCCCGGTATAGCAGAGACCCAGCTTTGAAACCCTGCTGTGAAGCAAAGACTTGAATTCTGATCTTCTCTCTGCCTGATGGAGAGAAGGGACTTGAATCCATGTCTGCCACCTCTCAGGTGAGCACCTTAAACACTAAGCTATGTAGTGGCTGCTTCTCTTTTTGGCCCAATGAATAGTTATACAAAGTGGAATAGCTTCACAGGAGAGACTGAGAGCAAACTGCCCCCACCCACCATCAGCTTGGTAGTTTGGAGCCTCAAGTCAGAAGGGGTAGCTCTGAGTTCAAATCCTTGCTCTAGCATGGGCCCCCAAAACTGGATCTAGCAGATGCCAGTCAAATGCCCTGACTGTGGAGCACCATGGTCTACACTGGGGGGGGGGGGGCGGATCGATCTAAGTTATGCAACTTCAGCTACGTGAATAACGTAGCTGAAGTTGACGTACTTAGATCGACTTACCGTGGTGTCTTCACTGTGGTGAGTTGACTGCTGCCGCTCCCCCGTCGACTCTGCCTGTGCCTCTCACAGCGCTGGAGTACAAGAGTCGACGGGAGAGAGCTCAGGGATTGATTTATCGCGTCTAGACTAGATGCGATAAATCGATCCCCGCTGGCTCGATCACTGCCCACCGATCCAGCGGGTAGTGAAGACCTACCCTTTTAAATAAGGGTCACATACCCATGGTTTTCCTGAAATGGACCTTTCTGATTTGCAGAGAAATTCCAAACATTTTCAGAACCAAACTGAATATTTTTTCGGTTTGCTCGCTGAACCGAAAGATCGATTATTCACCCATCTCTACTTGTGGCCTTAATGAAAATGTTCTGGAAACTGTTTGTGTTTATAACAGCTCCTCATAATAAATCCATTTGTTTAGTTTGCAGTGGGCCAATTCCTGAAGTCCACACTTAGACTAAATTCCCAACTGCTGTGAGAGTTTTGCTTGAGAGAGTAACGAGTAACTACTTCAGGAATTTACTCTGTAATAGGTGCAGGGTGCCCTCACCATACAAGCCAGACTGAGAACCAGTTCTCCTCTGCCTTATACTGTGTGTAGTAACTGATACCTGTGCAAAATCAGTTTCAAGTGACTGTAAAATATAACCTAGTCAGAACAGATTGTGTTTTATGCCCAGTTTGCCCAGGTATAAACGACTACACAAGGTACAAGTCTGGGCCCCATTGTGTTCTTATACCAGTTTTGCACATAGCTTTTCAACAGCATTACCTTGCTGTACTCTAGAATGAGGTCGGTATCCAGGTCTCAGTTTTCTGCTACCTTTCCTGAGTCATATTTATTAAGATGTAACAAAAAGAAAAAAAAGAAGAAAAAAAGTCACAGAACACACCCTGGCTCTCTTTGTCTAGGGTCTCATTCCACACAAACTACACCAAGCAAAAGGAGGAAAATTTAGTCCAAAACATACTAAAATTGCCCAGGCAGCTGTTTGGATGAGTCCTTCCTGTAGGCTCCTTGGCTTGTCTCTTTCAAGTCCCAGTTTCCTCTCAGGGAAAAGTTAGTGAGTTATATAACCTCCTGGTGGTTAATTGACAGGGAAACACGGACCACTTGGCAAGAAAACCCAACTTCTTAATCCCAGATAGGCTTGGATACATCCCTTTTTGTGCTCACAGGGTTCCTTGTGTATATGATCCACCTGCCAGGGTCCTTGATCATCCTCACTTCCCAGCAATAAGGCAGGACTGGGTCTTGGTGCTTTATCATCCTGTTGTCTACAATGGTTAATTCAGATTTTTAATATCGCTCAAACTCCCTTCACAATAATGTTCTCTACTATTTTGCTTATCGACATGAATCATATATCAATGTGTATCATATCTCCCCCTAGAGGAGATAATTATCTGGAAAGAGAAAAAGACAGAGAGAAAAGATAACTAGGATGGTAAGAGACGTGCTGTTGTAAATAATACTTTGCAGTTCTACAAGGGAAGTAAGCACCATATGCCAGTTTTAGAGATGAGGTAAGAGAAGCACAGAGAGGTTACAGGATTGCTCATCGTCTCCTTAGTCCCTAGCTGTATGCTAAGTCCATTAGTCCACAGCTACCCTCACTGGGGGAGAAGTGTCATTCTGCCCATGCCAATCTATCTACCTCTGCCCTCAAGCACAACCCCAGAGACTTATCAGATAACATACTGTATTCTCCCACCTGTCCCATTCTGAAGAGAAGCAAGTTGAAACAATCATACATTACTTACAGGAGTCTCTTGATCCCTATGCATTGATGTAGTGTCAGAAATATAGCATTTATCAAACTTCTGTGGCTTGGTGTCACAGCCCCGGTCCAGAAGAGTCTGAGAAGAGTCCAGGCACTACCTCTGATTTGGGATTTCTGAGTATACTTTTGGGATGCAGATTCTCTTTCTAGCACCCGCTTCTGAGAACTGAGACCCCACAGTCTGAATGCCTGGTCTCTGTGACTTGTGCTGGCACCTCCACTGCTTAAGCATGTCTTTTCCCAGAGCTCCAACCTTGAGGATTCTCTAGTTTACCATTTAGTTCTTTGGGGACACTGAATAGTTGAACCGAACAGACCTAGACCTTGCAAAGATTTCTAGCACAATTATTCTTTACTTTAGATAACACAAGAGAGAAAGAGATCTAGGACAAAATAATTTTTAAAAAACTCTGTATGCCATTCACTACCTCACTTCCTGCAGCATTCTTTGGGATTTGGGCCAGTGTCCTTTCCAATCATTCACTCCCGCAGCTCCTGGTTTCCTTTCTGGACCATGGAGAGAGACAGACCATCTTTCCATTGTCTCTCAAATGGTCAGCAAGAGACCCTTCCTTTTACAACTTCCAGACCCCTTTTTCAGGTGACCCCCTGATCAGCCTCATCAGGAGATCCAAGTCCCCCACCTTTGCCTGGCTAGCAGTTCACTTGGCAGAATCACTCTTGGTTTGGCCACCTTCTTTGGCATACCCATTGTATGGCCCAGGTAGACCTATTCAAATGACAATGAGTCTTGATAGTCCACTCACCCAACCCAGACACACTACTGCACCGATCACCTATTACTCCCAGCGAGCATCTCTGGAAAGAAGTTAACCCCCTGCAGTCAGGTAACAGGCAGCAAAAGATTAAACAGGTAAACTGAGTCACGCATAATATTTCATAAACATACTGCAGAAGTGTCCCACATTCTCCACACCTGGCAATAATAAATCATTTATATCACATTTTCTCTCTGTTAGATTGATACTGTGATTGACAGAGAAGGTAAACTGAGAGAATAGTGACCAATTCAAGGGTAGGTATGAGTGACTCATGAGGGAAAATGCGCAGCCTACCTTTGCCACATAAACCTTCCACTTAGATTAATATCCAAACCCTCATTCCTGTTTCTTGATCATGCACCTGAGCTGAACAGGGATTACCCCAAAATAAGTACACAGGTGGAGTCGGGATACAAAATAACTCTCCCAAGATAAACAGTATCTGAAATGACTGAGCAAACATATGGGTATAAAATTAGCTTTTCTACAGATTTTCACACTGTACTAATTGTCCTAGCCACCCTGAAGGTTCAGGACCGAGGACTGCAAGCGACAATGGAACACAAGGGGTGCTGGGTACTGGCAATTGTCTTTATTTTAGGGCTCAGCAGCCTGGCTAATGGATACATACAACTATGTAAGTGCATTTGTTTCATTTTTTTATGTGTTGATAACAAGCAAAGTCTTGTGCTGATTATTTGGTTAATCAAACCAAGTAATACATTCAAGGGTAGTCTGGGAGAAATCTTAATTTTATCTAAAGAGCTCTGTTAAACCACCAAGTTCTTTCTTGATGATTGTATCCTTTTACTCATCGTTATTATCAGTAATAATTATTATTTCTTGAGCACCATTTGGCCCAAAAGTTTACAGTCAAATTAGCTTCCATTTTTTGTGAGACGCTGCAAAATCTGTCTTTTTTATTACCAAGAACTGTACATAATGCCACAGTAAGTCAAATGAAATCAAAATTAGGATTCTTTTAGGATTTTTAACGTTACCATTTTATAGAAAGTCTGTTTTATTGCAGTAGTGGGGTTATCACAGAATGGGATCTTAATCCTTCTAAGATCCCTTGCAATGGAATGCAAAATTTCTTATTACAAATTCAGCTTATTAGTAACAATCAAATGTGAGAACCACAAATGATGAAGACATTCTTCTTATTATTTTCATATACAGAACAGCTGACTAAAACATTTGAAAACAATTCCCTTATATGTCAATTAGCTCATGTGTTTTTCCTTTGCCTCATTTGTAGCCATATCACAGTCTTAAAGTATAAAGATTATCTCAGCTCTTGTCCCATAAATACTTGCACACGAGTGACTTTATAATGCTGCATGGTCCCATTAGTTACTCATGTATGCATGTGTTTGCAGGATTGGGGCTAGAGTTTTTTAAAAAAAAACAAAAAGCACCATGCAGGTTTTATATAACTTTTTAAAAAAAAATCTGCGCAGATCACAATGGGCTTGAGATTGATCTCACTTCCACCCATCATTTTATATTGTATTAAGTGAGTGAAGTTCTTAATGTTTTTCAGGGGGAGGGGGAGAAGTGTCAATTCCATAAATTGTCCGTCAGTCAGTCAATACCTTGACCGCAAGTAATTCTCTACTCTAAAAAGAGCAAGACTTTGTGGTGATGTATGTAGACAGCAATCTGTGTTTGAAATCACAACTGGCCATTAGCCCTAAATTGAACTTCTACGATTAAGACAGGGTTCTGTAACAAAGCCTTCACTTACTACTGTAACTGAAAACACAACGCTTGGTGTTGCAAATTGGTCCTCATCACTAAAGACAACTTTATAGTAGCTTTAAAACAAACCTAAGGGGAAGCTGTCAACGGACTGTGGAATTCTGAAGCACCAGGAGAAAATTGTGGCAGAGATGCAGAAACAACAAAAGTGCCATGGGCGGTACATTGTTAGCATGAATGGAAAGGAAAGTTGTAACACCCTAAATCATTTGGAAAGGAGAAGTAACTCAAAATTCTGTGAAAATCTGACATTTAAATGTACTCACTTGCAATGTATCATGTAGGTAAATGTTTTGCAATTAAAGGCTCTGGAAAATCTCAAGTCAATGGCACTAATTGAATTAGCAAGGCCTGCCTGCATGAGTGAGATGTTTCTGCATCCAACAATTGCAATTCATTTGGGCCCTGACTGAACAAAGCACGAAAGCATGTGCTTACCATTAAGGACACAAAGCCCTTGACTTCAGTGGGAGCACACATGAGCTTAAAGGTAGGCATGTGTGAAAGTGCTTTGATGAATCTGGTCCTCAAGATGCTAAAAGCAGCTCAAAGAGATTTTTGTCAAAAGAAACAGACAAAGAAAGAACCCTTTAAATGTGATGTTTGCAAAGGACACAAATAATGCGGGGACTGATACTGCAGACATTACTCAATCAAAACTCCCATCAAAATGAGCCCTGCAGAGAAGTTTATCATCTAGAAGTTAATAAGCCAAAACAAGAGGGAATACAGAGACTTAATTGTTTCCTCTGTTGGGATTGCAGCATTGGCAACTCTCACAGTTTAACAAGTGTCTGGTGCTATTTGGTGCTTTTCTTAAAGCCCCTCTTCTGGAGTCATGAAAGTTAGAGGAGAATCTCAGCTTTCATTTGAAAAATAAGGCAGTTTCTAACCCTCCTGGCTGCAGAGAAAAACTTGAAAACGTAGCCCAAATGTAACCGAAAGGCCCAGAAGCCAGAAAACAAATCAAAAGAACCCAAATTATATATTTGTTCATTTTGGATTTTTTAAAATATCATAGTTTTAAACCAATTGAATGAGTTTTTGAGGCCTAACTCGCAATTTTTGAATGCTTGAGGCTGGCAATACTGGGATTGTGAGTCATTGTCTCCAGTTTTCTCACAGGAGGAATAACAGCTGCAACAGGAAACAATAAAGTTTACAATGAATTAAAAGTTTTAAATAGGACTCATTTTATTACTTACAACTGACATCACCATTGTTATTGAATGGATGGGAGACTGTAGCCAAGGTATGTTTTGTTCCAGCAGTTTTGTTATAATGAAAGTATTATATTTATAGAAGCATTTGATGTCTGATCAATTACCATTACAATATGAATTTGAGGCATATTGATACTAAGGAATATATTTTGCCCTTGGATGCATGTGGGCTGAAATTAATGTGAGCTTCAGTGGGTGATGTTTACATAGATAACAAACCATGCTGTGTTACGCTAGGCTGGTTAAGGGATCTAAGAACTATAAACCCTCATGCTTCATATTTCATGAACCAATATCTAACAAAGGCGTTTAAAAAGGAACTTCCTCTATGGGCAGAGAATTCCATAATTACTTGCTACAGGGTTTTTGCACCTTTTTTGAAGCATCTGATACTGGCCAATATCAGAGACAAGATGCTGGGCTAGATGGACTGCTGGTCTGATGCGGCATGATAATCCCTAGGTTCCTGTGTGCTCATTCAAGTGTGAAGATCACAGTGCAGAGTGGCCCTAAATCATGAAATGAAACTCACACAATCAGTTAACTTGACTTTGTTTTAAACAGCTCAAGAGCAATGTGCGCAGCAGCCATCTGCCAGAGTGAACTGTGGATATCCGTACATCAGTGCTGAGGCATGCAACAACAGAGGGTGCTGTTTTGATAACTCTATTGTTGGTGTCATCTGGTGCTTCTTTCCTAGGACAGAAGAAGGTAATAGAGCCATGGGCTTGTTTTTCCCAGTTTCTGAATACACGGAAAACATCACTGTAGTATAGATTAGCTCAGTGTGATTAACCTAAAGCAGTAGTTGGATGGGAGAAAATCGTCTGTAAACAAATAACAGTTCTGGGCTGGGATTATGTGCTAAGACTCCAGGAGGCACAGAACACACAGGACAAGCCAGCGGCAGAGAGGGCCAAAGCCTTTAATCTACTTTGGGGAACCTTCCCAATTCCGGACACCTTCCAATTCTGGACTAGTCAGTGGCCAAAACTTGGCAGAATGAGTGAGTGTGAGGATGGGGGAAAAATCAGTGTCTGGGGAAAGCAGGGGCATGGCGGGTGAGAAAGGAGAGTATCCATCTACATATCCATTCCTTAATTTATTGGATTATTTTTACTTACATAGTAAACACCATCTGACATATCCGAGACTGCATATTTCTGAAGTTCCTTAGGGTTTGTGACTTATAAATTAATACTGTTGGGGAAACATGGGACTTTTGGTGCCGCTCTGTAAAACATTAGAACTGAACAAAATTTGGAATTTTGGTCCCATGGGAAATCCTGACATTTCCACATTTGTTTTCATCCCACAATGGGGTGAAAGGTGGAAATTTCTATTTATTTGTTTGTTTTTTGCAGAATGGAAATTCTAAAAACATTTGATTCACCATTGTTGAAACGATTGAAATGTAATATTTTGACATTCCCAAAACTGAAATGTTTCATTTCGGTGTATTGAACTGAACCCAAACATTCAGCATTAATCTGCCTTTTCCCATTGTGGCTCATTGCCTCTTGGGAGCTATAATTCAGGGGTTTGATGTCCCTATCCTCCCCTATGGGCCAGACTCCCTGGCCAAACTACATCTCACATGATACACCCAGAGTCATGTTACTCCCATGATGCATCATGCAGCTTGATCAGAGGGAAATCCACTTTGGATTGTGGGAGATGTAGTATTCCAGGGAGCCTGGCCCAGAGGAGAAGATGGTGCTTCCAACTACAGCTCCCATAAGGCAATGCACTGATAGGGAAATTCAGCTTAATGTTTTGTTGAACTAATTCAAAACAAAATGTTTGGGATCAGTTCAACAAAACAAAATGTGCTGATCTGGGTTTAACTGATCCAAAATTAGATATTTCATTTCAGTTTTCCTGATGAAAAATCAATTTGGGGGGCAAAATCAAAATTCTCCTGTGGAAATTTAAATTTTGCTGAAACTCATTTTCCATAGGAAAATCATTCCCAACCAACTATAGTAAACACCTTTGAAAGTTAGCTAGTCCTGTCTTTGACGTGGAATGGACAGACTTTGGTTTGGAAGCAGATATCAATGATGTGCTTTTGTTTTGTTTTGATTCCAGAATGTGGCATCTAGAGTGAATCTGTCTCTCTCCGCTGAAATTCCTGAAGCAGGACAAGAACAGAAAGCTTTCCTGGCTTACACTATGATTTACATTAATTGCCGAGCCATTTTTGGCTCTCGTACTTTTGCTTTTCAGTGAGATGGCTCACCACTTCTGTCCACAAATGTTTCAATACTTTACTATACAAAGCACATGTCTTAAAAAATAAAAGCGGCAAACTAAAAGCTTTAAAGCAGTTTCCAATTCTTCTGCAATTACCTTGAGGCTAGATTCTGATTTGTGCTAGGGAGTAAGAGGGATTACAAATCCCCCAACATCCCTATAAGGGCCCTTGGATATAGGTATGCATGAACAGGTGTCCCACACACGTTGGAAATGGGCAGAAGCTTTACCTGCAATGGTAATAACAAGCAAAACATCTGTAAAATATGTATGTATTATGTAACTCTTCATGGCACAGAAAGAATGCAGAGTGCCAAATGAGACCAAAACAAAAAGAGAGAAATTGATGTAATCAGTGCTTCTGAATGATCTGACTCTTGACAGTTTTTCTTCAGGAAATAGATCTTCCAAAATATACTTCCTAGATAGGTTCCCTTTTATGGAACTTCTAAAGATAGGCCTCACTACTGAGGCATTGTACTACCTTAAAACTACTAACCATCTCTCTAACAATCTGATCCCTGCCCAGTTACTTTATCCTTCAAAATAATTTTAAAGATGATGTAGGAAAAAGATTAACCCTTATTGTGATAACTTTCCCAAGACTTTGTGCTTTTATCCTGCATTATGAATCAGGATTTAAATGGCTAATAAGTTGAAGATACAGCACAGAAGAGAAGCACAGAAAATCCTTTTACTTAATATTCTCTTTATTTTTTTAATGTACTTAAAATGAGTTACAGAAGGTAGTTGTACATGTAATGTATACCACTTCTTGCACAGTCGCAAGAATGAGAGGTTTGTGTTTTGGCTTAGTTTTATAGTATTCACTATAGAATCATACCCTGAAATAATGAGTTTACATTGACACTAGCACTAGATAACATTTTTGGGAGGCCTGGTGCTTTTTGGTCTAGAAAGGGTTAGTTTGGGGAGCAGACAAAATCCATGACTATGACCCATACCCAACCTTTTAATTTTGCAGGCCTATATAAATACAATATCCACGGCGATCTCAGCTTTAATTGTAAAACTGTCTGGCCTGTAGCAATAGGTTTGCCTTTTTAAGGCAAAGGATGAAACTTTGTTCGTGTGATCTTTCCAAAAGCTCACTAGTTGCTCATATCATCCAGGATTGGCCATTTTACTGACCTGTAAAAAAAAACAATAGCCAAGGGTCCCCTTATTATGAGTAGCCCTGTGGACCATTTAAGAATGGGAGTCAGTGTTGTATGAGCTGCCTCTAATGAGCTTAGGCCCACTACAAAAATCGACAGCTTAATAGGATAAGAGGAAACCTTGCCCAATGAACTAAGCATTAGGACTGAGAGTAAGAGACTCATATTCTAATCCCTGCTCTGATACGGGTATCCTCTGGGGCTTCAGTCAAGTCATTTAGTTTTTCTGATGTTGTTCCGTGCCTGTAACATGGATCATCTACTAATAGGACCTCCATCATTGAAGTGTCTGAGCACGGAGTGTCTGAATTTAGTCTCATAATACTCTTGTGAGGCTATTATCACCATTTTACAAATGGGGAGCTGAGGTACAAAGAAACTAAGGGAGAAATCCTGACTCCACTGAAGTTAATGGCAAAACTCTCACTAACTTCAATGGGGCCAGGATTCCACCCTTGAGTGGCTTGTCTGAGGTCACACAAAGTCTGGGAGAGATCTGGCATTGAACCTAGAATTCCCAAGTCCCATTTCAGTGCCATAGCCACAAAATCCTCCCTTGTAACTCTGTCACAGGGAGCAGGAGATTCCTTAATATTTGTAAAGCACAACTTGGAGTGCTAAAAATCACCAGAAGGAACATGTATAAAAGCATCTGAACAGCTCCCAGACAAAAAGGCGGGGAATGTGGGCAAGAAGGAGCATGTCTGTGGTGACATGGACTTCAGCATGATCCTCAGCATGAAGATGAAGTGCTTAGCAACATGCTCCTCTCTTTGGCCTTACTCCTCCCAGGCACGAGTAACTTGGTAATGCTCTCATTTATGCAGGATTGGGTTTGTCTGCACACCCTGGCCTGTTCATCGCTCCTTCCTTGCATTTATACGGACTATATCTTTGTCCTGCTCTTCTGCTTCCTCCTTGATATTTTATCTGAAAAGGTTCACCTAATGAGAAGATTGACCCTGTACCAGAACTGTACATAAGGAGGGCATGCACGCAAGTAATATACAGCATGCTTCATTAGCATGTGTGTACAGGAATGAAACTGTTGTAGACCTTCAGCTTTTCAGAATGAAGAAAGGAGAAGATGAGGAGCACAGAGAGTTGAGTAATGCTGCTTGATATGGCTTATTCTTTAAGAAATTTCCCAGCACCCTCTAGTGCACAGTCGGTGACTATCTCATCTGAGAAAAGGCATTGGTATAAATAGGAACTAGGGTCATGGCTAATTTGTATTATTATTAAATATTGATATTGTGGGTAGTAGCAAGAGGCCAATCAGGCTGGGGTTCCATTAGGCTAGGCACTATAAATGACAGTCCCTGCCTCAAAATTCTTATGAAAGACCCTAAAAATTCACTATAGACAAATAAATTGATTTCATGCGCAATTCATAATCCTGGGACACGTGAGCTCGCATTTGCTCCAGATTTGTATTCACAGCACTTTTCACTGGGTAAGAAAGCCCCTGGCATATGTTGGGCTTGATTTGCAAAGACAGTCACCTAATTTACACATGCAGGAAAGCGTGAGCAAACTGACTGTGTGTGCGTGTGACCAACGAGATACATCATTGCCCAGCTGTGCACACAAATTCCTGCCTTACCGGTACTGCCACAATAAACACACATACAAATTAACCATGCATTTGTAATTACTTTTTGCACATGACCCTTGCAAATCTGACTCTTTGAACACGAGGCCTTTCCTTAAAAGTGAAATATTCACGTTTGCAAATTATTAATTTCAAACCAGTTATATCTTTACGACAAGTATATGTTCTGTCACGACTTCATAGGCTTGTCTACACTGTGGGGGCTTTGGCAGTACAGCTCTGATGTCATAACCCAATAGCGTTGATGCATCCTACAGTGACGGAAATAGATTTGTTTACCTGCCGCATCCGCAGGTGCGGCCGATCGCGGCTCCCACCTGGCCGCGGTTCGCTGCTCCAGGCCAATGCGGGCTGCGGGAAGCAGCATGGGCCGAGGGATGTGCTAACTGCTGCTTCCCGCAGCCCCCACTGGCCTGGGGCTTGCCCTGGAGGGCAGTGTGCCGAAGGTTGCTGATCCCTGACCTAGCATCTTGCATCCCAACCAAAACACTTTACAAACTTAAACTGGGATAAAAACTATAGGCTTGAGCCTGCAAAAGCCCTTACTCCTGGGAGTAGGCTCTACTCATCCAAGTAGTCACACTGACTTCAATAGGATTAAGCAGTCAGGTTGATGGGAGTTGTAAACATGTATACCAGGGCTGAATTTAGCCCAAAGAGAAGTTAAGTGATTTATTCAAGGCCAAACAGCAAGCCAATGGTAACGGAACCAAATTCTGATCTCATTGCAAATCTGGAGTAACTTCATTGAAACGTGGGAAGTATAAATCCAGAAGGAACAGCTGTAAAAGTCATAAGCTTGCAAAACCAGGGGAGTACTGCTAATATTGTTAATTTGTTTCTACTGGTGCCCAAAATGTGCAATCTACAAATACAACAAAGGGCACAATCCCTGCCCTGAAAAGCTTGCCTTCTAAGAACACAAAACAGAGTTGGAGGGCAAAAGAAAGAGGTTCAACGAAGTAATAAAATGGTCAGAGGGGAATTGGCAACATCCTCATTAAACAACATTTTAAGAACATTTGCATGATAAGAAATACCAACCGCACAACTTAGCCACAATCAGCCAGTTCGTTTCTTGAAGGCACTAGGATAGAATGTTGGTCTGTGGACCAGCTCAGGATGGATACTCCTTGCATAGGGGATAGTGTGGAAGAAGGCATAGGGATGCTGGTGGAAGATGCAGACAAATGGAATGTCCAGGTTGTCATCACAGGCAGAACATTGGGATGGGAATAGGGGTATAATGGAAACTCTTCTTCAGCCTAACTATATTGGGAGATACCTGTAAGTGCCATAATACATATGTGGAACTAAACAAAGAGCAATACACTGCCCTGGATTCATGGCAGAACTCCCCAGATTGGGTGTATACGTCTAAGAGCAGTCTATGAAATTCCAAATCATTCACTGGCGGATATGCTTGTCATTTCTGATTGAGAGTGAACAGGGTCTAAGGCAGTAATCTTAAAATAATTAATACTTTATTTGATTTTTGTTACATCATCATAAATGTTCTCTGTTTTCAGAAAACAAAGCCCTAATTTGGAAAATAATGCACATACAAATCTTCTACAAGTATACAGAAATATACAAAGCTTAATGTATCGTTAGAATGCCTCACATCCTAAAGTTGGTACTCAGGTCTATTTTGCCAATGAGTATGAACTACAAAGGTAACAAGCAACCTGAAGAAGACCAGGTTTATATATACCTACAACAGTGCAAATATATCTCAGCGCGCAGGCAACAACTGTCTCTAAAGAAGCGTAACAAAGTTGATTCTTAGTAATGCATCTTGCATCACGGAAACGAGAGAGAACAATTACATATTAGACAGACAGTGTATGCACACCTTTGCACACTGATTTAAAATGTTACTTGCATTGAATCTTGCTTTTTTAAAAAAATTAAATAACAATAACAAATTCAAGGGCAATATCTCACTACAAGTTCAACTGACTGAGATCAGGTATTGCACAAACAGTCTAAAACAAGTTAGCTAGAGTCCCAGCTACACTGTAGGACTGATTTTTTTCCCCCTATTAAAACGTATCTATAATAAAAAATATCATTTTCCTTCCCCATCAGAGGAGGACACTACAAATGCAGTATATTAACTTTTGTAGCATGCTTTATGAGCATTTTTCTGTCAGAGCATTTTTTATTTATATTGCATTGTTTTTCAAAATATTCCCATTGGTAAAGGTTGGTATAGTCAGAGTTAACCCAAGCAGCCTGGTTTTCTGAAGTAATAGAAAGAAGTCATTAATAGCATTTAATTTTAATGTGCTCCTAAAATAAGAAGTAATGGTGCAAAATCATGGATGTCACCAAAGCACAAAGATCTTTCAGAAACAAGGACTTCATATTGTCTCTTCAATACACTTAAAGTACATTTTAGATTATTTAGGGGGGAAGGCAGGGGGAACACCATTAAATCCAGCACTTCCATTTTCAATATTTCAATAAATTTTGCAAAGGCTGTTAAGATATTGGAATACCTAACATTGGCACCAAGGGCTCAGTTATGCCATTCTGTTTCTACACTATACAGTGCAACACCCAGTGAATAAGGACATGAAGTAACTTGGAGTGAAAGGGTGAAATTCACTCCTGTGCAGAAGCCTAGCAGAAGGACCATGGCCCAGAGCCTTAAAGATATTTAGGTATCTAACTCCCAAGGTCTTGATCTATGCCCCAATGAAGTCCCACTTAAGCTGTGGATAGGCCTTGTGCTGGTCCCATGCACAGAGGTGGATTTCATCCCAGAAGAGGATCCAATTTGATAATTTACATTAAAAAAAGACTTGGAAGAAAGCAAAGACCTATTGAAGGAAGACCCTTTAAATGAAAACAATATAAAGTACCATACATTACACCAGGGATCTCAAACTCAAATCACCAGGAGGGCCACATGAGGACTAGTACAGTATGAAGTCCGAGGGCCACATCACTGACATCCTCTGCCCCCGGCCCTGCCCCCACTCCACCCCTTCCATGAGGTCCCACCCCTGTCCCGCCTCTTCCCATCCCTTCCCCGCCCCCATTCCAACCCCTTCCCCAAAGTCCCCACCCCAACTCCACCCCCTCCCTGCCCCTATTCCAACCCCTTCCCCAAATCTCCATCCCTGTCCTGCCTCTTCTCCGCCTCCTCCGCCAAGCACGCGGCTCCCCACTCCTCCCCCCACCTCCTGGAAAGCCCTAAGCGCCTGGAGGTAGGCAGAGGAGTGGGGACGCGGAGTGCTGAGGGGAGGGGGAGCTTGGCAGGCCACAGGAAATAACTCCGGGAGGGGGGGGGGGTGGGTGCAGGGAGCTTGGCGGACCGCAGGAACTAACTCCGCGGGCTGCGTGTTTGAGACCCCTGCATTACATGGTGATGGTATCAGAAGTCTAAATTAGGGCTCATGCTCTTCAGTACTTTTGTTCTTAGTGTATGTAGGTGCTGCATGGAATGTGTACAAATAAGTAGAAATGGGCCAGTGTCTACACAGAGTTAAAACAAAATTGTTATGGCTGAAGGCAATTGCAACTCATAGACATGTCCAAAGCACAGTAGCGTACATACTGCAATCCACCTGAATGTAACACGTTAAAATGATCCCTACTATATAAAAATATGATTTAAAACAGGATAGTCTGGATTCAATCCTGGAAAGTTGCTGAGTATTCTGGGACCCAATGCAGCAAAGCCCTTTAGCACATGCCTAACTCTAAGAAAACAAGATTGACCTCAATGGGACTTAACTACTTGCTCTATGTATTCACTAGTGGCCGTGCTGCAGACCTAACAGGGCCTACCTAATGACATGGCAGGGATGGGGGTTATACAACATATAGATGACATGTCAGAACATCAGCCCCTGCCTACTTCTTAGTTCCAGCACAGCTTTTAAAATGTCTTCAGTATTATCACACTTTATGAATGGCACTTCACAATGTGTAAACTACAAGAGCGCAACAGATGTACATACAGCTGAGCAAAGAGCTGATAGGTCAAGGCTGCATACCGCACATACAATTTTTGTTTTCCTGCTGCCAGGGGGTGTGGGGTGCACTGAGTCAGGATTTGTCAATGCACAAGGTCAAGGTAAAATGCATTAGGGCTTAATGTCCCCATTGCTTGTGCCACGGGAGTTAAGACACAGACACCATAAAACAGCAGGTCAGAGACAAACAAAACAAGGCTGAAAATGAGTCCATGGAAGTGCTGGGTGTGCAGTGAAGGCAAGATCAAGCCCTAGGTTTGCTGTGTTATCGTAGTAAGATTTAACATCTCATGCAAGGCTCCAGTGCAGCGCTAGGGTGAGGTTGCTGTCTTTTAGCCAACAAATAAGCAGAATCAGACACAAACACCATGATGTACAAATAATTCGCTAATGGGATTTTACGTAAAGGGCTGCAAAAGAAACAGAGCTACACAATCGCTGTCAGGAAAAGACTATGTTGATGTTAAAATTTAAAATAAAAGATATTCACATTTAATTGGCAAAATCAGTGTAGACGGTGGCTAAAACAGCACGGAAATCATTTTCATTGTGGTTCCTAACTACTGGTGCAAATATTAGTGCTGGATCTTTGGGACAGGAACTCTAGGCTCTTGCTACATGCATTAAGAACGGGCTTCTGCTCTTGCTCCAGTGCACTGCCGATTCCATTGTTTACCACCCAGCTATTTGTGTTCATGCTAACTCCCAAAGCATGGGTTGAACCAAAGGCACGGGTCAATTCAGGAAAGCATCCCTGCTCAGGAAAACACTTAAGTGGATGTTTAAATCCCACTGAAGTCAATGGGGCTGAAGCACGTGTTTAAATGCTTCCTGAATAGGGATGGATTTAAGAACATGCCGAATCAGGGCCCCAGTTACCAGACTGGAATACAAAATTCTGCAAAAGGGAGGTGTCAAGTACTGACTAGCACAGCTTAACCCTTGTGAACAAATCCAATTATCTGAAAAAGTTGGGAATCACTAAACTAATAACACTTCCTACATCAGGGCCTGATCCAACTGCCGTTAAAGTCAATGGGAGTCACAGTTTCCACTGGTATCAATGGGCTTAAGATCAAACCCCATACATGAAGCCCTGTCATCCTGCAAAGCCTCAAAGGACTAACTTCAACCCACTGAGTTAGCTACTTTCATAGATCCTAGCGCTGGAAGTGTCCTCTTGATTTGTCCACTACGAGTCCATTGTATTTATCTGGAATGTCAGGGGGGTAAGTAAATGGCAATGTTGAGGAGAGGAGAGCTTGGTGAATTGAAAAAAGGAGGCACATGTTGTTAGGCCACCTGGGGGTTGCATCCCCCTTTGCAAGGATTTTCAGTGGGGGCTGTGTTCACAAATACAAGTTATGATGCCTGAACTCTTCTCTTGAGCCCTGTACGGTTCCCGAATACAAGGGTCACAGGGCAGGAGAGAAGAGGGAAATAGAATTAACACAGTATGTTTAAATATAACTCTATTATGTCACCACACTTATGGCTGTAAATACTAAACACTTTTTTTAGGATCGAACAGCAGTTCTAGATTTTCACTTGTTATACAGTGAGGAAAATATAAGTATACAATCATTTTTTTGTTTAGCACAATTATGCCATTAACAGTAGTATCTGTTTTACAGTGAGCACATAGAAAAAAAATATACCTTCTTCTCTGTGGTGGTCAGTTTCTTCCTTCCTTCCCGGCCCCCAGGAGAATACTTTGCATTGTAGTAAAGAGCTTAAAAGGTTATTTCCTATTTAGTCGGGGTCACTCTGGGGAATGAACCCATTACACGAAGGCCATGTCTACACTACAGGGACGATAATGGCATAGCTACAACGCTGTAGCTATGCTGGCGTAATCCCATAGTGTAGACACAGCCTATAGCAATGGAAGGAGTTTTCCCATCGTTGTAGGAACACCACCTCCCTGAGTGATGGTAGCTACGTCGAGGGAAGCATACTTCCATCAGCCTAGTTGCAGCTACACTTGGGGTTAGGTTGGCATAGCTCTGAGGTGGATTTTTCTCGCCCCTGAGCAACATAGCTATATTGACCTAAACTATAAGTGTAGACCAGGCCTTTGATATAACAAATACACTTTTCACCACAGCCTTGGAGCCAGTGCAAAAAGGAGATGTCAGCTTTCTGGACAGTATGGCCCTAATCCAGCAAAGCTTTCCAACATATAGTCCACTTTGAAGACATGAGTAGTCCCAGAAGTCAAAGGACAAATCTCAAGTATAAAGTTAAGTATGTACTTAAGTGCTTTGCTGGAACTGAGTTTATAAGAACCTCATTGGAATGGAATAGATCCATCTAACATGGAGTAGATGGAGTATCAGAGAAACTCTTCCTTTTGTGAGAACAATCAGGACAGAATGGGTCACCTTACACCATCACACCATTTTCTAAATGAAAACATGGTGGTGATCAGTACAGTGTTAATTTCTGTAGTCACACAGACATTGATGCAAGACCGTAGACCCACACGCCAGCCTCCTACATAGAGTACTGTGATGGGGTGTCCTCTCTACGCAAGGCCCGAAGGGGTTAAGGTGGCCGGGGGGCCTATTAATTGCCTAGGCTGCACTTGGAGGAGGAGCCAGAGAGCAGGGACTAATTAGAGACCAGGCTCAACAGGAAGGAACAGGGGGGCTTGCATAAAGACCAGCAGCTGAGAGTAGCTAGGGGCTGCAGAGAGAGAGGATGCAGTTACTCTGAGGGTGAGAGCAGACAAGGTAGGAAGTAGCCCAAGGATACAGCAGTAAGTTTTAGGACTGTGCAGACCTTAACTGCTTGTTGTAGGTTCTCTGGGTTGGAATTCAGTATAGAGGGTGGGCCTGGGTTCCCCTACCAGCCACTGCGGAAGTGGCACTATGAAGGGGCAGTGAATGGGAAGACTGCCTAGGATAGTAGGTCCTGAGAGACTCTGATACCCAAGTCAGGGAAGACTACACTGACCTGGTCTGAGGGCCAAGCCATGAAGCAGGAGCAGTTTCCGTCCTGAGACAGAGAGAGAGTGATGGAGTGTAACAGCAGGAAGGGGAGTCGCTCTGGTAGAGCTAATCCCGAGATGTGGACAGAAGGAGGCGCTTCAGCAGTGAGTAGAGCATCCCATGACAGTAATTCAGACACAAATGTTCACTGTCTCACAGACAGCATTTAACCAGCTATCCTGGTTTGCAGGATTCCTTTAACTATATTCAAGCTTCAGCCAAAAGGAAATATCTGAAGCATTTAATGTTTCAACTGATGCATATATGACCAAAAGTAAAATGATACAAACCATATCCACAGATATGGGCTAGATAAACAAAGAACCCAACAGAATGCTAAAAACTTCTAGATGTCATTACAAAAGAAAACAGCCTTGGAGCTCTTTGCTTTTGCATTCATAGGAGGTAATTCATGTGGATAATGAACACAATTAGCATTTTAAGTATCACAATTAAGGTGGGTTTAAAAGACTTTGCAAAAACAGATTTTTTAAAAAAATAAAGCAATCATCTGTGGACAGCTTAAATATTCCTGACTATCTGTGCTCTATATTTTTTTCCATAGGGAATCACAGGTTTACAGCTCTAACTCTGATTTTGTCTTTTTTCCTTACTATTACAATTTCTGAATCTCAGACCATCTTGTCAAGTAAAGCACCAGAATTCTAAATTTAGATACACACACAAAAGTGACATGTATCACTGATTTTTTTCTTCTTTTTTTACATATTATCCATCCCTATTGAAAAGATACATCTTTTCTTGAGAATCAATAAGCTTACAGACTTTGGGTTTGGATGGATAATTCTTGTGGAAGAGAACTGCAAAGTGATATATAAAAAAAATTTCAAAGATGACACTCTGAATTTAAAATGACGTGATAATGCTACTTTCTTTGCATTCCCGCACTTGGTACTTGACTGAATGTTGATCAATAATCACCAGCCACGTAAAGATGTCACTTTACAACTCTGGCTATCAGGATAAACATCATCTTATCACAGAGATGGTTTTCAGAAAGCAAAGTTCCTGGAACCAGTTTTTACATCGTTTCACAGCTGAAATTCTACATGGCAAAATTCCCTTCTATTTCTTCTTCCCAGTTAAAGCTAGAAGTGTAATGAAAATGTGACCCAATCCAACTGGACTGATTAGCTTAACACTACACATCCACTAACCCAATACGGTTCTCTATGGGCTGGATCATAACAGCGTCTGTAACTGGGCACTGGACACCAGCCTGCCACAATGAGACAACAACAAGTGCCCTCTACTGCATGTCTAGGGTTCTTCCTATTGGATAGTTTTGTTTGTTTTTCCTTTACCTCTCTGCTTGGATTTTGTATCTGAGAACAAAATAGGCAATGAGACGCAGAGAGAAGAAGAAAATTCCAAGCACAATGAAGTCCAGGTAAAGTTTGGCATTTTCTACATCCAGTTCTCTCAGGATGGCCGCTGATTTTTGGAAGTGGCAAGTATCATCTTTGTCGCAGTGAAGATCTTCTCGATCCAATCCATAGATGGAGAGAATAACACCTTCAAACCCATACCTAGAAAGGAAAGGATGGATTACAAGATAAAATTCTAACCAGGGCAAGCATTGTTCATTTTTTCAGATGTACCGTATATACTCATTCATTAGCCCGTTCATTTATAAGCCGACCCCCCCAAGATGGATACGTAAAAATAGTAAAAACTGTATGACCCTTTCATAAGCCAACCCTATATTTCAGAGGTTGGCAAACTTTGGCTCCCAGCCTGCCAGGGTAGGCTGCTGGCAGGTCAGGATGTTTTGTTTACCTGGAGCGTCTGCAGGCATGGAGCCCCTCAGCTCCCTGTGGCAGCGGTTCGCTGTTCCCAGCCACTTTCCGCAGCTCCCATTGGCTGGGAACGGAGAACCATGGCCAAAGGGAACTGAGGAGCTCCATGCCTGCAGACACTCCAGGTAAACAAAACGACAATGTATTAGATATTCAATTCAATGATTTCGCAGAGTTTTAAATCATCAAATTTTGGTGTAGACCCGTTTATAAGCCGACCCCCGCTCTTTGATGTGTCACGTTTTTACCAAAAATATTCAGCTTATGAATGAGTATATACGGTACTCAAAATGGAAAACACTCATAATTACAGCTCAGATGGTAAACACTGAAGATTTAAATACTGCCCTCAGAGGCAGGAAGTTTTAGGCTAGATTCTTTCTTCGGTTGCATTCAAGCAAATCACACTTCAGTGGGTTTTGCATGGGTGCAATAGGATAGAATTTTGCCTTTAATAGAATATGCAAAAACAATACAGTCAACTTTCCTTAAAGGAGAACACTTTTTAAAAAAAATCAGAATAATCTCTTTTTATATTAAAAAAACATGCTAATGACTTTATTAAAATTGACATGGTTAATATAAATATTTTTAAAGAGAAAATATACTTAGTGCCTGGAGACAGTTGTATTGTGTGATGAGGAAGAAACTGGAATGTCTCATTTTAACTGTCCTCTGCATGCTTCTCGTGGCACACCCTCACCACGAAGGAAACTTCCCCCAGCTCCCCCGTCTAACCTGGATCTGGTCTCACTTAGGACCAGATGAGCTAGCATGGATCCCTCTGTGGGACTCTGATTTCAGTGGGACTTCACATGGGTTGGTCAGGGGCCTTAGGAACAAAACCATTTCTCCTCCATCCTGACATTGGATGCTAGCTACCATCCCAGTTTACACTGACTTCTGGCTTCTGATAAGTCTTTGGATATGAGGCATGAACTCGGTCTGGTGTATTTGCAAACAAGACCAGAGTTTGACTTGTGTTGTCTTTATAGTTCTACAACCTGGAAAGAAACTATTTTTCCCCACCTCAAACTGACTTTGCCATTATCTAGGACATATACAAAAGTTCTTTTAGTGGACATTTCCTAAGTCCCCTTAGCTCCCTCTGCGATGTCACCTTCCTGACCCTCTTCCTCTGGAGAAAACGCATTGCTCACCTACAGTAGTATCAGTATTGGTTAAACTGGACAAACAGGCTTTATCCAGGAGGTCTGTCTGAACCGTCAGTGAGATATGCCATGAGATACACAATAAAGTGCTAAACAGCCTCCAAAGTGAAGTGCTGGCAACCCCATTCAAGTCTTGCTATGGACACTTTTTGTCTTCACCTTTATATGTCAAAGCAACTAGTCCAAATTCTCTGCCGACTTACATGCTGTGCACCCATTGAATTTAGTGAGATTGAACAAGGCATAAATCAGCACAGATATTGACCCATTACATATAATCCATGGTAAGATTTTTCTTATTTCATGTTGTTATACATACTTCGTACAGTAAAATAATTTGGTATTGTTCTTTTACATATTTCTTACTGGAAACATGGAAATACATCACATTAAATCCTGAAAGAATGTGCTGTAAATGTGGTAACCTTAGCATTAAAAGACAAAAAATTCCAGGTTAAGATACCACTGGCTTCCCACATGGTACCTGACATATGAGATGTAGGACATCCACTGGAGGTATGCGGGAATGGTATCAAAACTGACAAAGAATCCTGAGAAAAGGAGGACTGGGATGGCTGTAACTGGACCCACGAATGTTGCCACCTGGAAAAAGGAGGAAACAAAAGATGCCTTCTCAGACAGCCAAACAAACATCCAGGGGCTCGGGGTACTCCCTGCTTTTAATTTCTGCATTGCTGTGAGTCTTTAATTCAGCAAACACTCTTTAAGGCACAAATCCTCTGTCCTTGTGTCAAACTCAGATAAGCAGTTGAAGTTCACCCGGCCAGGCTATGGAATGGCATTGCAGTGTCGCCCCCTGCAGCTAGACCTTCTTCAGGGCAGCAGTCATGTCAACAGCTGCTTCACTCTCTCTGTGTAGATGGTTTGGGTTATAGATCTGTTTAGTGGTGACTCTGCCTTGCCTCCTGCACATTTCTGTCTGTACTTGGATGCCACCAGTGAGCACAGCTGCAGGTCCCCAGCACCCTAACTCCCTTTGCACTACAGAATCACATCAGTTCTGCAACTTATAGGACATAGTGCACTTGTGGGTGAGTGGGGTAGAACATCCATTTGAAAGAGATGGGTGATCTGGCAACTCATTCAGTGCTGAGGTGCTTAAAGAGCTCATTCTTTTAAAATGCTGTAACAACATCATTGCTTTCTCGCTATTATTTATTAATTCTCAAGCAGCTGTAAAGATACCAAGAACAGGCTAGAGAACCCCTTCTTTGCTGTTTCTTTGCAGGTGGTTCAGAGTCAGATGAGAAGTGCAAAGGAGGTCAGAGAACTTACAGCAGCAGCCGTGGCAAGAAGGCATAAGTAGCCATTGCCAGGGGAAGCAAGGTTCTGGTGAGTTCATAAAATACAAATGCCAGTACCTGAAGTGATGTGGAGGCTGCACCTATCAAAAGACCTAATGACTGAGCCACTAGCGATGTCATTGTTCCCAGGGCTGCGAACAGGACAAATCGGAGCGCATCTGATGGCTGTGAAGTCATCCAATACACGATGCTGCAATACGCCACAGGAAACATAATCTGCAGAAAGATACATCTGCAGTTACTACATTATAGAGTCAAGCCAAAAGCCATACAGAATGTTTCAGTGTTGCTGAAAGCAATATCAACACCTAGAAAGCATTGTATCCCACTTAACCCATCTCTCTCATCCCTCAATGCTGTACTCAAAGTGATGATGCTCAGAGGAGTTAGCACCTCCACCACATCCTATCAAATCTATCGTGTCCTGCATGCTACTTTAGACTAAAAAACCTGCTTCCACTTGTTATCAGCCCTTTGCAGCCACTAAGCACAAAAGCAAATGAAAAGTCCCAATCTTTGTTTAGTTTATTTATTCAGGAAAGCTCAGGTTAGACACAGGATCTTGATTTCAATAAGGTCCTGCCATTTATTCCCAATGGGGTGTTTGGTTTAAGTCAAGAAGCTCACACACTAATACACAGGCAGTTTTCCACCACTCTGGTATGTATATGAGATTAAAACATCGATGAAATGCTGGTATCTACTTCATTTGCAAGCGGATACAAGAAGAATGCTCTGTGGTTTATTCAAAAGTATATACCTGAAAAGGAACATCAGCCATGGTTTTAGCTAGATAGTAGGCCTTCAGACTATACCAGTAGTTCAGATGCTCTCTGAGAAATACACCCATCTCAAGAGGAACTAGATAGAATAAAAATTAATAAGATGGTTACTTACACCGTTAGAGTGTGACATGCTTGTGCATAATAACACCCTACCCGTTTATAATTCTGAGATGCTGCAATACTACAGCGTGCCAGGAACTCCAAAACAATTGTCAGACCAGCAACACACACTGACTCATGTCTCTTGAGGCACAAGAGGTCAGCCTGGAGAGCCTCTCCTTGTGCACATATCTGCCAGGCTGCTCAGATGACACGGTTCTCCCTTAAAGTGGCTTTGTAAACAAAAACTATGTGGTTAAAAGTTGAAAGCCACAAGTCTTCTCTCCTGTCATAGAGGGATTCTAAGATGACAGCCTAAAATGTAAGACTGCAAGTCCCTCACATGTTAATGGTGACAGCCCTATAGTTAAAGAGTCACAAGTTAAAAAGCTTAAAGATGTCATCCTAGTACCTATCCATATACATTGTTTACATATGACACAGGGTCACATCACTGGCATCTTCTGAACATGGCAAATTTCAGACCAGAGCTGGAAATTTTTCTCTGTCCAGTGCAATTAGTCCTTGAGTTGAATGAGTGCAAAATTTACTCAAACACTTTAATTAAAAATTAAGCTAAAATTCATATGTGGTTTCACATGAAATAGGTATACTCCAGCACTGCTTACTTCATTCCAGCTAAAATAACTTATTTACAGAAAATATAGTAACATGGTCAGTACTCACATGTAAGGACAGTTGGCATGAGAGCAGCAAACATAAGGAACAACATGGAAAAAAAGAGGAAGCCAGAGTTGCTTAAGACCTTCTTAGCTTCATTTCCAATCCCTAAATATAGCAAGCCTATGAGAAGTCCAATTCCAATGTGTGATGTGATCCGCAAATGTGTCAGGACCTAGGAGCAAGGAAAAGTAGTATCTCTGATCACCATGTTTGGATCTAACAACTGCCACACTGAATGTAAAATCAACTAACCGCCTGCAAAAATCTTAAATATATCCTAAAATGAACTACTTTCAAATGGGCATTTCCTACTAGCAAATTGGGCTTCAGATGGACAAAGCTACATTAATGGGATTTCTAGATGTACCCCTGCCAATCAGATACAAGGACCAATGGAAAACAGAATTTTGCTCTCCAGGCAAAGGCTGTAACTGAGGATGTGCCAGAATAGTGTCTGACAATCTCAGTGTAGCCACTGGCATACTTCCTTTAGAGAAGCAGACTTTTTCCTCTGCCTAAAAAGTAGCTGAATCATAATAGAAAGGGCCCTGAAAGAGTCAGACAAGATATTTTGAGCTTATATTGACAAAACCAAATTAATCTGATATTGATTAGCTCTTGGTATTCTCTCAATCATTCAGTATGACTACAAATAGATATGGCACAAGGTACAGAGGCCAGAAGAAAATCTAGAATAGTTGCATCTTTATGATTAGGCAAAAAGAAACTTCCTAAAGTAATAGCTATTAAGTGCCCAATTTGAGCACCCCACTGGAAGAGATGAGGAAACTATTGTACAATGAGAGGATGGTCTTTTGAAGGTCTTATCTGTGGGGTAGCCTCTGTAGGTAACTAGTAAAACTCATAATTTTCTAAGAGGATAATGCCTAGATGGGTAATCTGGAAAATCTGAAACTGGATATTCCTTTTTGGATGCTATTATTCCTTGACATTAAGATTACAGTGTCTTAACTAAACATTTTAATTTACCTTAATTAACTATTGGGAGCTTTGACCAACGGGGGCAATGGTCCCGTGCTGGCACATGTGGAAGTGCAGGGTGGTGAAGCTCCTAATCCAGCATAGCCGTTCAGAGCCACAAAAGGAACTCTAGCTGAGTGACCTGAGAATTCCTCCCAAGATTCCTGCTGCTGTGCAGCCTCCATACACCCAAACATATACACAATGCACACTGTGACTTCACCTCATTAACTGGCCAGTTATATTTGAAAAGAACACATTTATCTCACTCCTCCCCTTATGACTCTGTAATTAATAACAGCCTGATTCTCCACTGCCTTACAGTTGGCAGAATCATTTACACCAATGCACCTTTGCACTCCCTTTGCACTGGTGTAATGACTGCACAGGGTGTAGCGTAGCAGAGAATCAGGCCCTGGATGGGATTTTTTCAGACGTTTCTCCTATCGGAATACCAATGAAAACTGCATGATTCCCCACTCTCGTACTATTATTACTGAGACTCAAAACACAACCACCATGTTTCAAAGTTCTGTGCCAATCTGCACGCACATAAGGTGGATGCTGAAGTTAAGCCCACATCACAAACACACGAAAAGTGCCTTGGGCTACAAAAATATGTTAAAAGCAGCCTTACCGAATCCCTCATGATGGTGAGAAAAGTTCTTTTAAAGAGGATGCAGAACTGGGTGAGGCAGCTGGCTGAGAAGCTGTGACAGCCTTCTGTGGATGAAGAGTCCTGAGGCGACAGACAACACAACAAACTAAGCTCCGTGCAGAATCTTATTTACTTTTCACTAACAAGCCCCAACTTCACGCAGCAGAACATGCAAAACTCTCCGCTACTTCCTTAATATTTAGATTATTTCTCTCAACCTCCCTCCCCTTCAGTGCTCTGCATGGATTTACCTCTTCAGAGGGTCGATGCCATAAGAAGGGGTTCAGTTCATGCTCGCCACCAGCAACTCTCTTGTAGTCTGTGTCGCACTTCCCTTCCCGTGCTGCTCTGACCAGCCGACTGTTCTGGTCCCCGTATTCACCAGATGCAACCTCCATCACTACACAGAGCATTTAGAAGAGATGTACTCATTCTACACCAAGCATTAGTCACAGGCTTGGCTACTGGGGCCTAATCCTGCAACACTGAAGTCAATGAGAGCTTTTGCCGCTGATTTCAATGGGAGCAGAAGCAGGCCTTAAATGCACAATATTTGTATGTAAAAATCCCACATTTTTCTGCTGCTAATACTTGTTAAATACAACATTTTAAAGGAAATATAGTGAATGTATGGCTGCCTTAGTACTCATTATATGGATTTCAGACCTGTTTCTTTTGGTCCCTACTGTTACTGTGAATCACTCAGCTATGACTGTAGAATGATATAGTATTGTTTTCATAAGGGCTGTGGTGTTTTGTTAGAAAACCATGGTAGTTTATAGGTGTGACCCACATTCTGCCTTTCATTTCCTACTACTCCATAGTTTGCATTTCAATCAGAAAAAGTCACTAATTAGTCCCACCACTAGATGGCATTAAAATGATTTACAAAGAAGAGGGGACTCATTTCACACTGACTCAGTAAAAATATAGAAACAAAAACCAATAAAAGCCTCCCTATTTCTATTTCATTCAGAAGAGCTAATCAAAAGCAAAATAAGCAAACCAGAAAAGTTATTCAATTTTCCTTACCAAAATCTGCTGGATTGTGGTAGGTTGGACAGTTTAAACCCAAATCTCTCAAATAAGGGACAAGGTTTAACACTTTCCCACGGTAAATACATTGTCCTTGACTTAAAACACAGAGCTGAAAAATAAAAGATATAGAAAGTGAGAAAACATCAGAACCTTTGAATGTGTGTCTACCTGCTTTCTGACAGCAACTGGAGTAGTCAGTTACTAGCTGTTTGATTTGGAAGGAAATAGCAACGGATTGAAAAGATTTGTCAACACTGAATGTGGAATTATAATTAATGGAAAATCTGCAGAATATTAAAGATGTTCAAGATGTGAACTCTGCAAAACTACCCCTTCAGGGCTTGTAGTGTACTAATACAGAAACATCATGATTCACCCCTTAGACCAGAAGTGGGCAAACTATGGCCCGCGGGCCACATCCAGCCCACAGGACCATCCTGCCCAGCCCCTGAGCTCCTGGCTGGGGAGGCTCACCGCCAGCCCCTTCCCTGCTGTTCTCCCTTCCCCGCAGCCTCCGCTCACTATGCCGTCAGCGCTCTAGCCCACCGCTCCTGTGGCTGGCTCCGGCATGGTAAGGGGACGGGGAGCCCCGAGGGGCAGACAGGGAGCAGATGTTCTGGGGGGATGGAGGGCGCCAGTCAGGGAACGGGGAGGGGCTGGATAGGGCATGGGAGTCCCAGGGGGCCTGTCAGGGGGTGGGGGTGTGGATAGGGTCAGGGTAGTCAGGGAACAAGGAGCAGGGGGGTTGGATGGGTCGGGGATTCTGAGGGGGGTAGTCAGGGGGCAGGGGCAAATAGGGGGTGGGGGCCAGGCACAGCCTTCCCTACCCGGCCCTCCATATAATTTTGCAACCCCGATGTGGCCCTCGGGCCAAAAAAAAAGTTTGCCCACCCTGGTCTTAGACACAGGTTGGAAACCAGGCTGGAAATGGCATGACTGTGCCATCTTATTTCCATAAATTATTTGTGTTTTTGGTATGAAGATGGGGCTGGTGAATTCAGGGGGCAATGGGAGAACAGGAGGAGGAGAAGGAAGAGCAGTAAGAAATAGCTTGATTAGTCTTGCTTTCAGCCTATTGACTTCATTTAAACTTATTGAAAGAGTAGTAATCTTCAAGAGCTTGTTCACCTACTGTAGAGTGGGTTTTCTCTAAGCTCTCACAACTCTCACTTAAATGGCACTGTCATAAATATAAAGGGAAGGGTAAACCCTTTGAAATCCCTCCTGGCCAGGGGAAAGCTCCTCTCACCTGTAAAGGGTTAAGAAGCTAAAGGTAACCTCGCTGGCACCTGACCAAAATGACCAATGAGGAGACAAGATACTTTCAAAAGCTGGGAGGAGGGAGAGAAACAAAGGGTCTGGGTCTGTCTGTATGCTGCTCTTGCCAGGGACAGAACAGGAATGGAGTCTTAGAACTTTTAGTAAGTAATCTAGCTAGGTATGTGTTAGATTATGATTTCTTTAAATGGCTGAGAAAAGCATTGTGCTGAATAGAATAACTATTTCTGTCTATGTATCTTTTTTGTAACTTAAGGTTTTGCCTAGAGGGGTTCTCTATGTTTTTGAATCTAATTACCCTGTAAGATATCTACCATCCTGATTTTACAGGGGGATTTCTTTATTTCTATTTACTTCTATTTTTTATTAAAAGTCTTCTTGTAAAAAACTGAATGCTTTTTCATTGTTCTCAGATCCAAGGGTTTGGGTCTGTGGTCACCTATGCAAATTGGTGAGGCTTTTTATCCAACATTTCCCAGGAAAGGGGGGGTGCAAGTGTTGGGAGGATTGTTCATTGTTCTTAAGATCCAAGGGTCTGGGTCTGTAGTCACCTAGGCAAATTGGTGAGGCTTTTTACCAAACCTTGTCCAGGAAGTGGGGTGCAAGGTTTTGGGAAGTATTTTGGGGGGAAAGACGCGTCCAAACAGCTCTTCCCCAGTAACCAGTATTAGTTTGGTGGTGGTAGCGGCCAGTCCAAGGATAACGGGTGTAATATTTTGTACCTTGGGGAAGTTTTGACCTAAGCTGGTAAAGATAAGCTTAGGAGGTTTTTCATGTAGGTCCCCACATCTGTACCCTAGAGTTCAGAGTGGGGGAGGAACCTTGACAGGCATAAAACGTTTAAAGTAAACTTAAATCTAATCTAAACAGGAACAGACCATATCCTGCCACCAGCGTGAACAAAGATTTCTGACAGACTTTATTTTTCCGTTTTATTCTTTTCACATGAATGCAAAAAAGCAATCTGTTCTCAGTTATTCAGGGTCAAACAGGAGTAATTCCATCAAAAATCAGTGGAATTTTCTGAATTTACACCAGAGTAGCCAGGATGAGAATTTGGTCCAGCAACATTACAGACCTTAACAGTAACGCACTCATACTAATTCTTATTTACTATAACACACACCCAAAATTCAAAAGTGTGATAATCACGACTTCTAAAATTTACCAGTCAGATTCTTTAAAAATCAAATAAATAATAAATATAACGTAATATAAAAATAGGAACATGAAGGAAAAAAGTGAAAACCATTTTGTTCAAACCTACGACTCCAGTGATACTGATTTGGGACATGATCTGTGATTTTGCATTATCTCCAGCCTACACCAATTATAGATACAACATATTCAAACAAATATGTAAAGAGAAGAATTTCTGAAGGGTACCTGATCAAATAACTCAAACAGTTTGGCACTTGGTTGATGAATAGTGCAGATGATGGACCTGCCACCCTGGGCTAATGCCTTCATGAGAGAGACAACCTGAAAGCAAGATGCACTGTCCAAGCCACTGAAAATAAAGGCACAAAGGTGTTTATTAGATCTGTGGTTCCATATGCAACTGTTCAAAATAATACATGTCCTATGATGTTTCTGTTTCTCATTATTATCTTTTTACAACATGCATCTTTATCATCTAACAAGAACCCAGAGATGCTGTGTGGTATAGTATTTCTCTTCCCTTCCCGTCCCTCCCCACAGCCTTTTCCTTTATCAGGCATTCATCATACTTAATTAAAATGGGAGCTATTCTCAGAGCTACCTAATGCAATTTTCAAATTCTGTGATTGTGGGTTCTGACTAATGACGCTCCCAAGTCGAACAAACTAAATTCTACTCTCAGATACACACCTGTGGCCCGACTGTCTTCAGGGCTGTCATGAGTGTCTACCTGAGGGCAGAATTTGATCCTAAATATATTATATTTAAAAAATTCAATAATCAAAAATGTTTAAGCTAATTGGAAATCTTCACTTAAAGGGAAACTACACATTATAATCTGAAGAATTTTTTCTGCCTCTCTTCTGCGGGATCCTCTAGGATTTTTCTCAATCTCCCCCTTCTATATTGTTTCCCTAACAACCACCTTTAACAGCCTCATGTCATGTCAGGTTACAAGAGTTAGCCAGTGCACTAACTGGTGACCCTATTAAAATTATTTCTTGGGGGTTGAATTGCTCTATAGCTGTACGCAGGTGTAACACAGTTGCTTTCTACAGTATTATGTCAGAATAAACTGGAGTAACACAGATGCAAATCAGGCCCTTTAAAAACAGTATTAAAAAATTACAGCTTTTACTGATGCTGTTACAAATATTTTAAGTAAAACATACCAGAAGCATTTTCTAGCAATGAAAGGTGAGTGTAGCAAACGAGAAGCTACATAGCCTGATGCAGCATATAATCTGCTGTCTACGTTTCAAAGGAAAGTCTTGATTTTCTTCTGTTTCAGCTAAGATGCTAACAAGGGCTAGTACGTTCTGTGGTAGTTCTCTAGCACATGCTGGGGGGGGGGGGGACTCACAAAGGTAGGTAGGCATCTAAGTCCCATTTATATCAATGGGCATTAGGTGCCTAAATACTTCTGTGAATCCCACCCATAGTAGCAGTGGTCCACTTTCTAACATTTGGCCTTGATTTACCTGGTAGGTTCATCAAAAAACATAACTGGCGGGTTGTTCACCAGCTCCAAAGCAATGGCAAGACGCTTCCTCTGGCCCCCAGAAAGACTTCCAGTTCTTGTATTGGCACATGTCAGCAAACCCAGAGCTGTCAAGATCTCCTTTACCTGGGGACAGAATCAAAGCAACAACACAGGTCATTTAGATTGTTACCACAAAAAACCCCAAAACATCTCTTACTATTATCACTGGTTTTTCTATAAAGGATGAAAACAAACCAGTTGAACACCCTCATGATTTATGCAGATTCTCTGGGATACTTACTCAGAGGATGTACAGAACACTCCAGAAAGGAACATATGCCAGTATCTGTTAGAGCCTCACGCTCTATTGTGTTTCTAAGGTTTCAAATAGCTTTTGTCGTCCCTACTGTGTGCACAATTAGGTCAGAAACAAAGGCAAAGAAAATGTATTACAATCTCTGAGTGCTTCAGGAAGGGTGTAAAGTGACCACCACACGGGTCAGAAAGGGTTTTCCCATCTCTCATCTATGAGCAGCACAGCCGCAGCTAATTCTGCAGGAAGGGGCAGAGTGGGAGGAAACCTCAGAGTCTCAAGCAGAGTTCCTCTCAAGTCGTTGAGTCAATAGGCCACGGAGCATCCACAAACCCTGACAGATCCCCCAGGGATGTGTGTGAAATTTGGCGGAACATCCCTGAGAGGCCCTGTGCACCTGACCTCACCCCATGCATCCAGGTAGTGTGGTTCAGAGCAATCTACCAAGGACTCCTTGTTGTCACAGCTGCCCTGATACACCACAGAAAAAGGAATATAGCTCCAGTCTGCACTCCCTCTCCAGCTATACCACCAGTCAATATGGGACTGTCCACTTCCCATCCTCAAAAAGAAAAGGAGTACTTGTGGCATCTTAGAGACTAACAAATTTATTTGAGCATAAGCTTTTGTGAGCTACAGCTCACTTCATCAGATGCATTCAGTGGAAAATACAGTGGGGAGATTTTATATACACAGAGAACATGAAACAATGGGTGTTACCATACAGACTGTAACAAGAGTGATCAGGAAAGGTGAGATATTACCAGCAGGAGAGCAGGGGGGGGACCTTTTGTAGCGATAATCAAGGTGGGCCATTTCCAGCAGTTGACAAGAACATGTGAGGAACAGTAGGGGGGGAAATAAACAATGGGAAATAGTTTTAATGTGTGTAATGGCACATCCACTCCCAGTCTTTATTCAAGCCTAAGTTAATTGTATCCAGCTTGCAAATTAATTCCAATTCAGCAGTCTCTCGTTGGAGTCTGTTTTTGAAGTTTTTTTGTTGAAGAATTGCCACTTTTAGGAGTTTGTGTGTGTGTTTTTTGGAGGGGGGTGAGGGGATGAGAGAACCTGGATTTGTGCAGGAAATGGCCCAACTTGATTATCATGCACATTGTGTAGAGAGTTGTCACTTTGGATGGGCTATTACCAGCAGGAGAGTGAATTTGTGTGTGTGGGGGGGTGGAGGGTGAGAAAACCTGGATTTGTGCTGGAAATGGCCCAACTTGATGATCACTTTAGATAAGCTATTACCAGCAGGACAGTGGGGTGGGAGGAGGTATTGTTTCATGTTCTCTGTGTGTATATAAAGTCTGCTGCAGTTTCCACGGTATGCATCCGATGAAGTGAGCTGTAGCTCACGAAAGCTCATGCTCAAATAAATTGGTTAGTCTCTAAGGTGCCACAAGTACTCCTTTTCTTTTTACTCTGAAACCAAAGAGACTGAAGCGTTCTCCGACGGGTTTTTGAATGTTATAATTCTTGACGTCTGATTTGTGTCCATTTATTCTTTTATGCAGAGACCGTCCAGTTTGGCCAAGGTACATGGCAGAAGGGCACATCCTCACTCACTTAGCCCTGACCCGCTTTCCTTGTATGGATTTCTGTACCATAAAGCAACCTCAGTGGGCCCTGGTCAAGTAGACTGTGCCCCGCAGGTGGCTGATCCCCCACCTCCTTTGCCATTTCCATGCAGATGAGGTGAGATGTGTAAATGGTGCCTGGATCTGGGGAGCACAAGATGGCCCCTCAGCATTTATACTAGGTTAACAGAAATTAAAATCTGGCACTTCTTCCAGTAAGAAAAAGTGACAGTACCCAGAAAAATCACGGACACCCTAAATCTTGAACCCCCACCGAAAGAAAATGCAGCAAGCAATCTGTTTGGGATAGAGTTGTGTTGTATTTAAGTAGTACTAGTAGTATGTTAAGGCTGGGTCGTGGGTGGCCTGTGGGCACAGAATGAGCTGCTGGCATTGGAGCCGAAGGTCAAAGGGCAAGGGCAGGTAAAAACCGCAAAGTCAGAGTCCATTACCAAATTGGGAGCGTGAGGCGAGAATTGGGTCAGGCTAGGCCAGGGTCTTTCACAGAGTCTGCAATGGCCTTAAGCCAGAGACAATAAATCAAGGCTGGGCTCAGGAGCTGAGCCTAGGTCAAGAGCAGGGAATCAAGGCAAGTTGCAGCGGGGGAGACCTAAGGCAGAAGCACACCAGAGGTCTGCATTGCTCAGACGACTACCAGAAGTGGTTTCCTGGTTTATATGGGCAGTGCCAGCCAATCAAGGAAAGCTATCAGTCATGCCTCTTAGAATGGGATTTCCTGCAGCGCTTAGCCTCTCAGTTCCTCTTAGCAGCAACCCTACATGGGCCCCTGGTGCTGATGAGGAAGCAGCACCTGCCAGAGACCATAGTTCTAGGCCTATGGGTTCTTACAAGCATCAATAATAAAACAGACCAGTTCCTTTAACAATCCCTGCAATCTTTACTCAGAAACAATTCCCATCGACTTCAACTAGAGTTTTGCTTGAGTAAGTGTAACACCGACAGACCCCAGTCGTTGGCGGGCGGGATTGAACCTGGGTCCACTGAAGCTTAGTGCATGAGCCTCTACTTCATGAGCTAAAAGCCACACGGCCCTTAGCTAAGGCTGTGGCAGACTCATTAATCTCTAAGTCGTGGTGGGCAAACCACGGCCCGCGGGCCGGATCCGTCCCGTCAGAGCTTTGGATCCGACCCGCGGGATTGCCACCCCCTTGGCGCCATGGGGCTAAGGCAGGCTCCCTGTCTGCCCTGGGCCCGCACCACTCCCGGAAGCGGCCGGAACCACGTCCCTGCGGCCCCTGGCACCGCCCCCCACAGCTCCCATTGGCCGGGAACAGGGAACCACGGCCAATGGGAGCTGCGGGGGAGGTACCCGCAGGCAAGGGCAGCGTGCAGAGCCCTCTGTCCCTCCTCCCCCAGGGGCTGCAGGGACGTGGTGCCGTCCGCTTCTGGGAGTGGCGCAGGGCCAGGGCAGGCAGGGAGCCTGCCTTAGCCTCACTACGCACCGCTGTCACCCTGGACCCGCTCAAGGTAAGTGGCGCCAGGCAAGAGCCCACACCCCGAACTCCTCCTGCACCCCGCACCCCAATTCCCTGCCGCACCCCAACCCCCTGCCCTGAGCCCCCTGCCACACCCTGTACCGCTCCTGCACTGAGCCCCCTGCCGCACCCATTTATAACACCAACAGACCCCGGTCGTCGGCAGACAGGATCGAACCTGGGACCTTTGGAGCTAAAGGTATAAGCCTCTACTGCATAAGCTAAAAAGCCATATAGCCTTGGTTAAGGACTGTAGCAGACTCTTTAATCTCTAAGTGATATGGGTGCCACTAGTGGGGACAGAGCACCACACCCAGAAGGTGCGTGGGTTACATAAGCACTGCAGGATTTATCCCATAATGTCACTTATACAACATTCAATTACTAAAATAACAATAGTTTAGACTTCTATAGCTCCTTTTGAATGAAGACCTTTTATAAGGATGGTGAAGTATTACTGTCATCTTACAACTGGGATAACTGAGTCACAGACTTGCTCAAAGTAACACAGCAAGTCAGTAACAGAGCCAGGAATAGAACCCAGTTCTCTTGACATGTAGTCACTGCTTTAACTACAGGAACACATTATTATGCAAATCCTATTAGCCCCAGCACTGCCCACAATCACACTAAAGGCTTCCTACATTAAGACACACAGGGACGTGTCTTTTGCTTGTTAGTGTCATTTTATGCTGGACAAAAACACAGCTTTCAGCATGCAAAAATAACCCCCAGCTAACAAAATATCGTATTTTAGTAAAAAAAACCTGACCTAATATTTCACTTCTCATGAATCTCTCAACAACCTGAACTGTCTCTGTTTTCACCAGTGCTGTGATTTCTTTATTTTTAGCCTCAGTTGCCATCCTCCCCGCCCCAATCACATTCTGTATTAAAACATCTACACAGCAATGAATAGGTCTTTTATCACATGCATGGGAATGCTCCTGTAACCTCACCCACACAGTGATGAGCACTTGAGCTGCAAGTCTGCCTAGGAACACAGGCCCACATTTTCAAAGGCCCTGGCTTGCCAGACAAAAAGGGTGCATTTTCCAATTCTGTTACTTCAACTGAGTTAGCTTAACAAGAAGTCACATTAAGATGCAGGCTAACATGTCAGAAGCCATATCAGCTGGCTGTATTTTAAACTTAGTCTCCCCACTAGACCACGGAGTGGCAAACTTAACAGTTTCAGATGTGTTAGCCTGCACCTTCATGGATCTTTTTAATTGTGTTAACTCAACTGAACTAACATGACTGAAAAACACACCCTTTCTGCCTGGCAAGATGTACCCAAAAACTCATGCCCTTATGTGTGCAGTACCTGACTTATGCTTGCAAATTTCTGTAGCAGTTGTAAGAGCTATTGACTATGTTTGTGCATTCCTAGGTGCACACACACAGCAACGGAATTGTACTCGTAGCCAGGCACTGGGGATTAGTATGGACATGTGCAAGAGTGTGTATGCCCTTAGGCACGTAGGTCCAAAAATTTGAGCCACAAAGTGCAACTAAAAAAGCCCCACAAAAACTGCAATATATTTGAATAAATCTTTCATGTTTACCTAATCAACCTTCCCGTCAGCCATACTGAGTGCTACATTTGTAGGATTTTACTATCCCTCCCACACAGTAACAGCTGTCAACTTTGTTATGTTATTATTTACCCCATTCATGCACATTAATTGCAATTCAATTTTAGATACAAACTCAAGCTATATAAATTTCACGCTAACATCTTCACTATGCAGCCAAAGGAATACCTCAGTTTGAAGAGCAATATACATACCATCTCCTTTCTGCCTTCATCCTTCTCTTGAAGTTTCAGATGAGCAGATACCTATTATATAAACACACAATATGATGCAAGTTAAATTGGAACTGGTCAGCAACATGATATCTTTGGAATATCCACTGTAAGTCTAAGCGCAGGTCTGCGCTTAAAATGCTGCATTGGCGCAGATACACCAATGCAGCTGTGCTGCTGAAGCACTGACAGGAGAGCTTCTCCTATTGGTGTAGTTAATCCACCTCCTTGAGAGGCAGCAGCTATGTCGACAGGAGAAGCTCTCCTGCTAACAGTGCTGTCTGCACCAGGGGTTAGGTCAGTCTAACTTCATTGCTCAGGGGTGTGGATTTTTCATACACATACCCCCGAGCAACGTAGTTATATCGATATAAGTCTGTAGTGTAGACCTGGCCTAAAACACACAATGCCAGAATTGCAACTGGACAATTTGTTCTAACATGAGGCAGAAATTAGAAATCAGAAGCTTAAGAAAAGCAGTAATAGCTATGATGTTCTAATCATGAGTATAGTGTAGGCATATGCATGCTTTCTTAAGGGACCCTCAAGGCACTGACAAAAATAAGTGCTTAATAGAAATGCTCTCTCATATCAAAAAGGATAGTCCAGTGGACAAGGAAGCACCGTGGGATGCAGGAAGTTCAATTCCTTGCTCTGCCACACACTTCCTGTGTGATGCTGGATAAGTCAGAGTCTCTCTGCTTTAACTCCCCATCTGTAAAGTGAGGACAGCAATATTTCCCTACCTCACAGAAGTCTTAAAAAGCTAAATTCATTAGTGTTTGTAAAGTGCTCAGATACTACAGTGATGTAGAAAATAAGTAGAGAGATAAATAATGCTGTATAAGATGCCATCTGCTGTCCTAAGAGATAACTACAAAATTCTGCTCTACCTTTATTAGAAGCAATTAAATGTTAACTAATTAATTTTTTGTCAGCACTTTGGGTGTTTAATTTAGACAAAATATATCATCTGGGCCCAACTTACCAAAAGAGGCTCTTTTTTTGCAGCTGTAATTTAGTTTGCCAGTTTGAAAAACATTACCCTATTGGTCTTTGACTTTGATTTCAACTAAATGAACTAGGAAAGCTTTTTGACAGAGACGATCCCTTCCAGAAATCAGTATTAGAAAAATTACAACTCTGGAAAGTAAACAGACAAGGCATACGCCAGACTAGCTGATCGTAACGGTCCCTTGTGGCTTCAGAGAATTGATGAAAGCCCTTTTCCCCTTACCAAATGATAACAGCCATGAACTACTGACTTTACATATTGAAGGTTCGGCAGGTACAACAAAACTATTGGGCTGATTTTCTCATCAAACTGAGCAGCAGAAGGTTACAGACTGAACACTCAAGCTGGCTCTCAGTAAACAGGCACTATGTCAAGAGTGAAGAGGAAGAGTTTTTATCAATGTTAAGGCCTGGACTCCTTCACAAGGAGCCCAGGTGAAGACAGAAGGAAAGAGACTGTATCTGAGGGCTCCTGGACCCAAGACAGGGACAAAAGAGTAGTGACAGCCAGGAGCCCTGGCATACAGCAGCATCATGCCAGCATAGAATCACCTGGTTAGGACATGGAAACCTGACAGGGAGATTTAACAGGTCACCTGCCAATGTTCCAAGGAAAGAGATTCACACAGGGGTCTCACAGACTCACTCAGTCTGGCAACACTGACCATGACCAGCATTTCAGGCTCCAATGGTTGGCAGCTACTGGAATACGGAACAAGTGACAGGATACTGGTAGGCACTGGGAGGATGCGTGGGTGAGAAGGTGTAGTTGCCCTTCTCTGGTATCAGCCTATTGTTGCCGTTTTTATCCAGACACTAGCCTGTCATGGTATTTTATTTCCCTGAGGGTGAAATGAATGCAGGCTCACAAATTTTCTTCTGAACCCTAACAGTGATCTTAAAACAGCAGCGAAGCCTGGGAGACTCAAGTGAAGTCCAGTCTATCTCCCAGAACCACAGCCAGGAATAAAAATGCGTGCTCATGCATAGAGGGGGCCTCACTCTAGTCCCACACCCCAAACCAATCAGAACCAGATAGAAAGTTCACCATCATAGCTTCTTGGACAGTAAGATGAGGGAGCAGCATGTCATCTTGCATGATGTAACAGGACACTTTGCGAAAAGAGCGCAGGTCACGAGGCTGCCCGTTAATGAAGATTGTTCCTTTCATCCCAGTCTCTCTGAAATGAAACAAACAAGTGAGTTAGAGTGAGAGTTCCCTTTATAATCTTTACTACACATCTCAGAGAGTGGGCCTATTGGGCAATTTTAGCCTCTTTTTAAGTGATTTCTTAGGACCAAAACGACAGTGGAGGGAGGCGCACATGTCCTGTGTGTGCATCTGTGTGTGTGCGCGAGTATTGTTACATCAGAAATGTCACACCTTGGCAAAAAAATTAATTCAAACTTGTGCAAAAAAGTGTGCTGCCCATCTGAACGTTTGCAGAAATGCTGGGTCATTTCTTGAAAGGCTGTTTGTGAGGTGTCTCTGCCCCTCCTTTTTGTGATCTGGTAGCAGGAGCAGCAGAAAGCAACAGCTTATGGGGGGAGGGGAGGGAAAACCACCCAGTTGTTTCACATATTGCAGTTTAATCAAGAATTATTCTTACATCCTGAAATTTTTGATGGAAACATATTTTCAAAGTGTTGATAAAACCTAATTTAAAATACTCCACAGATAAAATCTTGGGCCAAATTCGTCAGATGGCAGGCCATCAGCCATTTCTCATTTTTGGAATTTTAATAACTATATCTTAGTCTTGCATTTTTGCATTTAAACAAATAACTCAGAAATGTCTGCTGTATAGAACACCGGAACATGACAATGGGGATAGTATAATTCAATATTTGTGAAGTACTTATTTTCTACAAATATTGGGTGAGAGGCTGTAGAGAGGTGGAGTGGCCTCCCTCTGAACTAAAGAGCAAGGGACCACTAGACTCCCCCCTAGTAGGCAGAGCTGAATCCACCCTGCCTCCGGCACCGGAAGTCCAGAAGTGGGGCAGGAAGTATAAAAGGAGAGCCCTGGAGTTCAACTGGGGCTGGACCACCCGAGGGAGCAGACATCTCTTTCAGGGAGCTGAGAGTTCTACAGGATCCCAGACTAGCCCCCAGGCGGAGCTGCCCCCTGCGGTCAGAGGAGACAGATGAGTAACTCAAGTAGCTGCCAGGACTGCTGCCAGACGAATGCCCCAAGAAGCTGTGGGAACAGCGTGGCCCCTCCCCACTCGAGAATGGGGAACCACTACAGAGTCCTTCTGATTTTCCAACAGAGGTCAGACTAAATTATCATGGTGGTCCTTTATACTGACCTGTACCCTGCCAGGATATTCATGAGAGTGGATTTCCCAGCCCCAGAAGGGCCCATAATTGCAACAAGTTCTCCACTGCTGAACTTCCCTGAAATTCCTTTCAAAAGGGTCTTGTAACCTGAAGGAAGAAAGAAAATATTACTAAATGGTGACACTTCACAGTTATTCACTGTATGTGAAATATGCTTCACCTATGCAGAGGTGACAAGGATGGCTGTTAGTGAGTGGAATGCAAGAGGCTGGGAGGAAGCTGGCAGTTATATCAGCATACCACAGCCACTTTACCACAACCTACAGAATGCACTGGAGGTTGCAGCCTTTTTCTACTACTTGAGCAGTGGTGATGAGCCTACACTGATCCATTTAAAAATGGCTCTGTTTTTGATTCACTCCAAGAAAATAAGAATGGCCGTACTGGGTCAGACCAAAGGTCCATCTAGCCCAGTATCCTGTCTTCCGACAGTTGCCAATGCCAGGTGCCCCAGAGGGAATGAACAGAACAGGTAATCATCCAGTGATCATCCCCTGTCACCCATTCCCAACTTCTGCCGAACGGAGGCTAGGGACACCATCCCTGCTCATCCTGGCTAATAGCCATTTATGGACCTATCCTCCACGAACTTATCTAGTTATTTTTTGAATCCTGTTATTGTCTTGGACTTCACAACATCCTCTGGCAAAGAGTTCCACAGACTCACTGTGCGTTGTGTGAAAAAATACTTCCTTTTGTTTGTTTTAAACCTGCTGCCTATTAATTTCATTTGGTGACCCCTAGTTCTTATATTATGAGAAGGAATAAATAACACTTCCTTATTTACTTTTTCCACACCAGTCATGATTTTATAGACCTCTATCATATCCCCCCTTTGTTGTATCTTTTCCAAGCTGAAAAGTCCCAGTCTTATTAATCTCGCCTCATATGGCGGCCGTTCCGTGCCCCTAATCATTTTTGTTGCCCTTCTCTGAACTTTTTCCAATTCCATTATAACTATTTTGAGATGGGGCAACCACATCTGTATGCAGTATTCAAGATGTGGGCATACCATGGATTTATAGAGAGGCAATATGATATTTTCTGTCCTATTATCTATCCCTTTCTTAATGATTCCCAACATTCGGTTTGCTTTTTTGACTGCAGCTGCACCTTGAGTGGATGTTTTCAGAGAACTATCCACAATGACTCCAAGATCTCTTTCTTGAGTGGTAACAGTTAATTTAGACCCCATCATTTTATATGTATAGTTGGGATTATGTGTTCCAATGTGCATTACTTTGCATTTATCAACACTGAATTTCATCTACCATTTTGTTGCCCAGTCACCCAGTTTTGAGGGATGGCAGTTGCCTGGGACTTAACTATCTTGAGTAGTTTTGTATCATCTGCAAATTTTGCCACCTCACTGTTTACCCCTTTTTCCAGATCATTTATGAATATGTTGAATAGGACTGGGCCCAGTACAGACCCCTGGGGGACACCTATTTACCTCTCCATTCTGAAAACTGACCGTTTATTCCTACCCTGTGTTTCCTATCTTTTAACCCAGTGGTCTCCAAACTGGGGTGCGCGAGATGATCCCAGGGGGTGCGCGGCAGCAGGAGTGCCGCCGGACGGCACTCCGCAGTTTTTTTTCTTCGGCGGCAGGTTGGCACGTCCATGGCTGGTGTTCCCCTCCGGCAGCGCGCCTGCGGCAGGTCTTCCAGTCTTCACCCTGGGGGTGCGCGAGCCAAATAGTTTGGAGACCACTGTTTTAACCAGTTATCGATCCATGAGAGGACCTTCCCTCTTATCCCATGACAGCTTACTTTGCTTAGGAGCCTTTCGTAAGGGACCTTATCAAAGACTTTCTGAAAATCTAAGTACTCTATATTCACTGGATCCCCCTTGTCCACAAATTTTTCTAAAGTGACTTGGGAGTCCAACTGCCATTTTCCAAAGGCTTTGTTCCTGTATATTAGCCAGGTGCTAGCCTCTCCATTGCGATCCCTGCTACTCAGGAGTTAATACCTCAGCTTTGAAGCAAAAATCCAGGCAGTTGCTTCAAATTTTATGCCAAGTCCCTGCCCAACAAAAAAATAAAGAGTAATCGTCATCATATTTGGAAATCTTAAAAGCAAAATATATAAATATTTGTCTTTCCCCCTCAAAGAGGTCAACAAAAGTAACACGGCAAAAGGAGACATACTGTGCAGAAAATCCTACTTGATCCTTTTCTCCTAAAGATAGACCTGAGCCAAAATTCAAAGGGCTTGTCTGTACAGGGAAATTGACTAGAATAGCTATTGCAGAATGTGCCCACATGGGGATCTATTCTGAAATAGCTATAGCACGTTAAATTCACATTCTACCTATTCAGCATAACTTCCTCATGTAAACATGCCCTAAATTGGAACACCCCCAAACTTTGGATATGCAGATTAAACTCATAGCCGCACCTATATTTGACCGGTTGAATGAAGACCTTTGATCCAAATGTTATGATCTGGGTTCATCTCGAGCTGCTTAATGACAACCTTTGAAAGTATACCCAATCTAACAATATGGCTGTTGTGCACTGAAATTCAGGACCTTTAGTATTTGACTCATTAATGATGCTGATGAAGAGAAAGACATTTTACTTGCTCACACATGGATTCAGTGTTCTGTATGCATAAAACTGTCTAGATTAGCACTCAAACAGATGACATCTAGTTAACTATCATTTATAAAGCTGAAGCCACATTAACACAGAGATTGTTAACTGCAGAACATCACTGTCTAACTGGATTTTCATTCTAATCTGTATCTGTGATCCACTAATGTACCTTCTTTGATTATTTGGATTTAGACGTCTTTTTCCATCAACTGCACCTGGGAGATACACTCGAGTGTGTGATGTGCATTTGTACTTCTCAGGATTGCCTCTCCTTTTGTTTCTAAAGAGTTAAAAAACGACCCTTTGCTTGGGTTAAACTTTGTAACCTGAAAATATTGGTCAGATGGCAGGAAACAGCAATGCTTTGTTTTGAATGTTTCTATAATGAAATAAAAACAAAAATGAAGGGGGAAAGAAAAGAACCAAGCATATGACATGTTGGGATTTGGCAATTCACTGAACCTAGGTTAATTAATATGCAGGAAGCATTTACACGCAATGTGTTACATATTCCCACGGTTGGAATTATTAGCATAGATTTCAACTGGGACACTGAAATGCCAGAAAATGAACTTGATCACAAGCATCAAGAAAATAGGTGGTAGATTCTCTTCACATAATTTCTGTCTCCTCGTTACCACCTCATGGCCCATCCTGCCTTATCTTGTTTTCCTTTCATCTCCAGATTCCCTCTTCCCTTTCTCGGTCTCCCCTTCTCCTTTATACCTTCTTCTCCTCCTCCTCCTGTGTTCTCTGTCCATGCTGCTCTAGCAACAGAGGGCACCCTTGTGCACTCAGGACATGCGATTGAGGGATCTTTCTGATCCACACTCTAGTCCAGGGATTGGGAGCCTTTGGCATGCTGCCCGCCAGGGTAAGCCCCCTGGCGGGCTGGGCTGGTTTGCTTACCTGCCGTGTCCACAGGTTTGGCTGATCGCAGCTCTCACTGGCTGCGATTCACAGCTCCAAGCCAATGAGGGCTGTGGGAAGCGGCGCAAGCTGAGGGATTTGCTGGATGCCGCTTCCCGCAGCCCCCATTGGCTTACCCTGGCGGGCCACATGCCAAAGGTTGCTGATCCTTTGCTCTAGTCTCTGCTTTGAATGTTCCACAGGCAAGGAGCACATCCATGGCCAGAAGCAGCTCAAATACTTCTAGAGGGAGCAACATGCCTGCTCCCAATACCACAGACAGTTGTCTCTAAAAAAAAAAAAATAAACTAACGAAATACTCCCATATACTGGCTCTGAAACCATCCTTCCATTTTTTTTCACAAGCCAGAGGATATTTGTTTTGAAATGCTGGCCTAATCTGACTAATGCAAGCCATCTGGGAGCTGGCAAGATGCTATGTGCTTAAGCATGACCCTAATGGTGCAATATTACAACCTCCGTATGGAGCAAACCTCAAGAACAGTAATAACAGTTTAAAGAGTCTGCCGTATGAGGGTTAGGACAGGGGAATCCAGAAAGGCAAGGATGAGATACCAGTGGCTGCCTGTCTTGCCCTTGATGTCAATATCACCACAGATTGGATCCCATAATTCAAGGGAAAGAAAAATCACACCTTTTACAGGGGTATGTTTTTAAAATATGTTAAGATTTATTTATTTAATAATTGTAATAGGGATATGGCCCTTCACACTGGTCCTTTATGTCAAAACTGGTCCTTATTGAAGTATTCTTGGCTTTACCTCAGGTCTTTAGTAGACTGATGAAGGACCAGAATGTCAGGCCTTATCACGCAATTAAAATTACTACACATTACATGCAAATGTGATACCCTTACACTGGGTGAAAACCTGGCCCCACTGAAGTCAATGAAGAGAATTTTATCATTAACTTCAATGAATCCAGGATTTCACTCTTTATGTAGTACTTTACTCCCACAACTAGCCCAAGTACTAGCTTAGTTTAGAATACTATTGACTGTAAGAAAGGCCAATAATGAAGCTCATGTGATAACACAGAACACATTGCAACTTTCTGGTACACCAATTTCTACTGTTTGAGATTATCCTATACCAGTAAAAATCTATATCAGAACAATTTATTCTCACTATAAGGATTTCATAATATGCAACACATCATAAGCACCAAGAATAGTGCATGTGCTTCATAACGATTTTATACTACAGCATAAAGAACTGGGCCAGTTATAAATACGTAAGGAGATATAATCCAAAAAATATTTCATAGCCCAAAAAACTTGTATAGCCTCAAAATATTCATCCAAAATATACATTTACTGACTAAAAATTAAGCCTCTCTTTACTAGTAGTTACACTAGTTTAACTAAAACAGGTTAAATATATTTCCACTACTGGTCCACCTAATGACTCAAAAATAAACTAGGCTTGTTTTAATTGCATTTTCCTTTTAAAAATTTATTTGTAAACCTGTAAGTCAAGTTTTAGTGTATTTGTAACTTGAGTTTTTTCACTGTAAAAACTCTTCTAAACGGAAATGAGAGATCTCCTGCCAAAAG